TGTGAAAACGTAACAGAGAGATACTTTCGCATTTCGTCACCTTGCTTTCTCAAGGGACTGAAGAGGCGGGTGTCAGCATCTTCTAGCCGTGCGAGTTTTTCTAACTACCCGCACTTGATCTTCATTATTTATTTATGCACTAGGGTTCTCACTAGACCGACACACAACACTCATGACATCCGCTTGCTTTCTCAAACTCTCATCTTAAAGCACAAAGTTACTGAAATGTAGAAAATGCATTGTATATACAAATTTTGCAGGCTGATTTAATTGCCTTCATATTTATGTACTGGCCTTTACCTATTCTTAAGGTAGTGCCTCCAAATTAACACCCTTGATAAGAAATTTAAAATAAATAGAAAGTTTTGCGTCTCCTGAAAAATCACTCTTTATAAGATACGAGTTTGACACAGTAAGGCATCGTAATATTAATTTTATACAATTATACAATTACACAACATGCATTCTTATTCGTAAAATATTGCACAGGAACATTCACACTGAGCTTACATTCGTAAAAAAAAGACAATCACATAAATACAATATCAGCCGCAGAGCCAATTATCTAATCCTGCCCATGATCAGAACTAACCACGGCAAGAGGTCGATAGGTTTTGTAGGAGTGCAAATCTTTAACAAACTGCCGTCAAATGTGAAGTATCTGAAGGAAGAAGGATAAATCAAAATTGTATAAACATATTATTAACGACCATTCACTACTGAAATAAAGATTTAATTTGTATAATAATAATGTAAATTCGTAAACAGTTGAACTCTTAACTTATCGACTCATCCGTATAACAAAGATGTATGTGCTAGACTACTTGTTCTCAGGACATAGTACATTTCGTTCGTTCTTCTTCGCTGTGGATGTCAGATCGACCGTTGTTCGATTTTATATTTCCGATACGAAATAAGATTGATTGAAGACTGTTCGCTATATAATCACATCGGACTATGTTTTTCAGATAAGTCGTTATGTTTGTATCTAATGGTGGTATTTCATTAATAGACCACGGCTTGGACCGGAATATTGTTAATTTACTGATTAGTTTTTAAGTTCTCATGTAAGTGACAATTGCTTTATTGAGAATAAATATATCTTTGAACTCAAAGTAAGGCACGACTTGGTGGAAGCTCTGAGTGCCACTGCACTCAATTGCAAAGATGTGAGGTGCACTGCCACAGCGCCTTGAGACATAAATTGACAAGTCCCGTGTGCTTGTAATTTCACAAGCTTTCGTTCCCTTCAAAACCACAACGCTGTAGTGCTCTCACATTTAATCGTTTTAGTCATATAACTGAATTTTTATTTTATAATTTTACTACTTACTAGAAACAGAACAATTGATGTTAGAGGCTCTGTTAATTAAATTTGTCGTTGTTAACAATGGATAGGTTAGTTGTTGAGGTAAAAATAATAATAATTATGAAAGTTGTCACCAAAGCACAAAATAAAATAGTCACTACAGTAACATAGTAAATAATCGACACTTCGGGGCAGAAAGAGTTTAATAGTTTATCAAAAAAGACTTGTGTATGTAGTTGGGTTCAATTTTCATAGCTCCTTCCGTCTGTCTATTCAGCGCCCAGGTGCAATTAATACCCTGGCGCGCGGTCAAAGTGGATTACTTGCGCTTATGTCGTCCCTAGTTTTGCGTACACTCATAGCCCCGCACTAGGGAAAGTCTACGACAGATATAAATGTCGGCCACAAATGTATCTCCCGACCCGGGAATCGAACCCGAGACCTCAGCATGGTAATTGTTCAGCCACAGAGGCAGTTCTAGTGATCGAAAATACAGCTGCGTCAATATATGATGTTGTGAAGCAATAACCCGTTAATTCGCTTCCGCCGCGACGAATACATTTCTTTGGAGGCGTGTGGGTAACACCCGAAGCCTATATATGCCGCACACCTTTAATATTCAATGGTGGATATTTGAAATGTCGTATGGGACATTTTCCCTTACGACAAAAAGTTCCTTTTAACAAAATATCTAAGACATTTCAAATTTCTACCGTCGATATAAGGGTAACAATTTTGTAATATATCGAATTTTAAAATGTCGTAAATCACACTCTGACGTAAGGGACATTATGTCGTACAGGAAAGTGTCCTTACCACATTTCAAATTTCTAAAGTCGATATCAATATCTCCAATGAACACTATGCCAACTTTATTTTTTTGGTTATTTTCTGTTATTTTTTTTGGTTATTTTTTGTTATTTTTCATTTTTTCCCGACTTTTGTCAAAAAATAAACAAAAACAAAATAAAAGCGGAACTGGTCCAAAAATTAAGTTGGCATAGTGTTAATTGGAGGTATTAATTATAAATAAAGCCGGCGTTGTGTCGACTAAAAATTTAGTTATCAGCCAAAAGGTTTCATAAAACCATTTTTATACATTGGTTTATTTCCACTGGTCTAGTAGACTTTGTATTTTGGTATTTACGCCCTTTCCTCCCCAAAGTGTCGATTATAAACAACAGTTTCATCACATGTAACAAAAACTAACTAAATTCAAAAACAGATCAAACGGGTGTGAAAATTAAAAGTCGTCAATTAACATTATGACAAAGGAACAGTGATTGTGATAATTGACAGTTGACGAGTGATGTCACTGTGAGTGTCAATTGACAGTGCAATGACAGCCGGGGTGACAACTAGACGCAAGGCCAAGTCCAGGAGAAGTTGGGCCAAAATTGAACAAGATGGGCAGGTAATGGGTTAACTATATTTATTTAAATTATTCGTAATTTATATAGTGTTGCAATAACTAGTTTATTCGGCCTCTGGTCAAATAGCCGAATGTTCGGCCAAATTAGCGCATGAAAATTGGCACTAAAATTTTAAAAGAAAAGAGATTCAGTTTTCAAATTCCCTTTAGTTTGATAAACTTTCAAAAACTGAATTTTGTTTTGCTTTGCAAATAATAACTAATCGGTTAATTTTGTTAGCGTTTATTTAGTCCGAGTTTAGTTAGTCACTACATAATAAATGGTAGTTTTAATTTGATATTGATACATATTTGGATTTTTTTTTTGAAAAATGACTAAAGGTAGATCACAATGCACAAATTCTGACAATATCTTGCCGCAATTTGTACATTGTGAATCAAGCTTTAGTCAAGTTATATTTTCTCCGACTTTTTTAAATAAGGAAGCGAAAAATTGCGCTTTCGCGAAGTTATAATGTATGTTCAGCATTAGTAAAAGTTACATAATAATTTATTGTTTGTTTTCTTATTTCTTCCTTTTTTTTAGGTATTCGTCCGAATAGCAAAAAACAAGCCGAATAAACCGTTTACCGAATTATTTATTTATTTCGTACAAACAAGAGAACATAATACAATTTCTCAATAAACTGTGAAAGCGGTTTGTTGGCGAGGTTGCACTCACAATCACAAAAGTATAGTATACCTAGTACGAGTACATTTAACAAGACCAGTGTAGAATTCACTAAATTTACATGCTTTCAAGAGGTATAAGTTTTAATAACCGAATATCCGTTGCAACTCTAGTAATTTTTGGCTATCAGCGCACTATAGTGGTGTTACCTACCTAATATTGGAGAAAAAAAAATGCGGTTGCACTACTTTTACTCTGTGATCCTCATTAATACCCATCTAGTTAATTTAACTATTAAGTTACGTAACAGATTTACACAACGCGCGAAAAGGGCATACATATTTATTATCTTATCTGAAATTGACTATCTCGCGGTTGTGGTGTAATATTAGCTGATAATCCGTTACTGTCATTATTGACATTTACAGATTAGAAGCAAATAAATCTGCGCACGTAATCAGCTACAAATATCAGCTAACTTGTTTAGGCCCCATTTCCGACTTTTCATTGTCAAGTTGCCACATTGTCAAATCGCCAAGTTTAGTTGAAATTATTTTTCTTTTAAAGAAGGATGGCGAAAGCTGACCCAGTAATTATAAAATCAATAAAGAGCCGTTCATGGACTTTGCTAGTATAATTTTACGTCTTTGTTTATGCCTAGTGATCAATATATTTTTGTATATTTTTAGAAGTCGGGGGTAAAGAAATTGTACCACAATATGTTTTAGAATAGATACAAGAACACGACCATACCATAGATTAGGTAAAGTTCTTGCGCATACGTTTCATTTTAAGCATGATTGAATGTTTACCTACCCAAAGTATTAGTTATTTTATAATTTAAAATACCTAATGAAATAATTAATTAATATTAATGACATAAAGTTAAAATAATACACAATGTGACAAAAATATTTAGGCAATATTTAAATGAGAGATAATGAAAGTTAGCAAAGGAACATTTTGACAAGAGGCCTCTTGCCAATGTCAATGTCACATTGAGATTGAGATGTGATCATTTGTGGCAGGTTTCTGCCATTTGGGCAAATTTTATTTTTATTTCATTTTCATTGCTGCAGCACACGATTACGTTGTATTTTACGTGGCAGAGTTTGGCAAATTTGGGAATATTCATCAAATTCTTTATTATTTTTGGGAACAAACTGAAAACTTGTTGTTTTCTGCTACTATGAACAAACATCTGAAACGAACGAAAATACAGAACAATGTTATAAGCATAACCTATTTAACTTCAATTCAATAAAAAAATACAATTGTATAGTAAAGGGGTTGTATATTATGCGTCTACGTTTCTCGATAGGTTTTCTGTTGAGCGCGGGATATCTTCGGGTTTACTATGAATAACGATAGGTTCGTTTTTTTTTATTTAAGAGAATTACTACATTTTAAATGGGTCAAAGAAAGCTTTTACGTCCACATGACACTTAAATCTAACTCTATGCCGCTTATGATAAGAACGGTCCAAAGTACAGTGTCAATTTTGATGTGCTCTTGACTGTACCCCACTTCATTCACCACTTTTCACTAGAGCCACAGTTACTATGTCGTTTTCTTTATCCCTTCTTTTTGCGATCTGAGCATGTACATTAATCGACATTGAAAAATATGTTTTTTTTATTCGCTTGCAGGCATCAGACTTCACGGACATAGGTGACTGGCCGACACTGGGCGCGGCGGTGGCCGGCGCACGCTGCCACTCTACGCCGCCCCCACAGGAAGATTCCACACACCACAATGGCAACGCGGTGAGTTTTTACATGCGTAAAAACATGCATTACCTAGCTCTAAAACGGGAATGAACTTCACATAGTAAGCCACATCTAGTACAGGGTGACAGGTTGAACGAGATGAATATTGAAAGAGGCAAACGAGTAGCTGATATCTAATACGAATTTGTAAAAAGAATCGCCCCTAAACATAAGAGAAAAAAAATGTCAAGCCATTTTACAAATGCTAGCGTACTCTTCATTTGGGCTACTCTATGAAACAGAACAACTGAGCGGTAGGAAATTGAACTCCCGCGTGTCAAGCCTTCCTACTTAAAGAGTACCTTCATACCTTGCTTACCACAGACAAAATTGAGTACTAATATCAATTTGTAGAATGGAGCACGCCGACAAGGAAAAAGTTTCTCGGTACAGGACGTTAGCACGACTAATAACACTATTTGCACAACATACCATAACGTAACGCCACAACTGAATGTATAATTATTGTAATGTGTTAACCCACATTACAATTATACATTTACGTATCGAGGGTTCCGAGGCAAAACTTAAGAAATGGTGGATTTTAAATTAGAAAACATTTATTGAAAATATACATAAAGAAAGAATAAAAGTAAAAAAAAAACCAAATTAACTTTTAAAATTACAAATAAATCAACACGCTGTCATATACTGTCATGTGTATTGCTGTGGCGTACACAAAAGGATCCATCCACTCAGCTAATGCACATAGCCGAGCAAAGAGCCTGGGTTCGAATCCGATCTTTGCACCTTTTGAGATTTTCGGAATTTATGTGCGAAACTTATTTGTATATATCACCACCACCATCAACCCATTTATACGTCCCACTGCTGGACACGGGTCTCCTCTCAGGCGAGGGTTTAGGCCATAACTGATAAATGATACATTTAAAATTAAATTTCGCACATAAATTCCGAGAAACTCAGAGGTGCGAGCCAGCATTCGAACCCACGACTCTCTGCTTGAGAGGCAGTAGGTCAAACCATTAGACTACCACGGCTGCAGCTATTTGCATATATATTCATCCAATATTCAGTCGATAGTCGATAGAATATTTATGGACTCCAATCACTTTTGTGCAAAAATCTACTACTATTTACAGACAGACTATAGACTATGATGTCGTCTTAGAGTGAATAAAACTCAGGGGTTACTACCCAGAACATTTAGACCAGAACTAATTCAGAAAATATTCAATTCTCAAATTGGGCTTACCAGTACAAGCCCTTGGGTCCACCGAAATTACAATTCTATTATAAAATACAATTTCTGACTAATTAACTATCTATTATAGTAATTAACTATAAAATTAAATATCTATTATAAAACTAATTCCTGACTGAAACAAGGTCAAAAAAAAAACTATAATATTGAGGCACTAAAACAAGCGCACAAACAGCGATTAGGTTAAAAATAAATGAACTCTCAACACAAGAACGCGAGGCAGATTCAAATAAATTAATAAATAAAAACAATAAAGGATAAGATGGTAAATAATCTCCCAATTAAAAATTTTCAGGATCAAGAACGTAAGCCACCGGAAGACCACCAAGCGCGGGACAAGGAGAACTTGCAGAACCACACAGATAAGCAGGATAAAAAAGACAAAGGTATACCAATTTATCACTACACTGTGCAGCAGTAGAGCTCCTTGTGAAAGAGTTCGTCTTACAGAGCTAGCATGACAAGAGCGACAAAGCGCGATATACTGTTATTCTCGCATAGAAAATAGTAATATCTCACGCTCCTAGTACGCGCTCGCGCAAGTCTGTCGTGCCAGTACTGCGAAGATACCTATTTCTGCCTGATACGCAGACATTAAAAAAAAAACCATTTCTGGTTATAATGCTTAGGCCACAAAGAAGTGGCTGCAAAAGCGTTCCGGGCGCGGAAATTTTTGCGGAGGTCGCGCGTCGGCCGCGCGTTTCAGTGTGCCAGGGTTCATATAAACTCGTACATTACAAAGATTACCGCGCCCGGAACGCTTCCGCGGCCGCCTCTGTGTGGCCAGAGCGTAATGTTGCAGTGCCACTCAGTGCTTTAAATCGCAAAGATCTGAGGGGCACTGCCACTGCGTCCGCCACCCTGAGACATAAGTTGACAAGTCCCATGTGCCTGTAATTTTGCCAGCACCCTTACTCTTCCAAACAGAAACTCTCTAATACTTACATTACTGCTTGGAGGCAGAGCTTATAGGGTTTTGTACTTAGGTCGTCCAGGGAAGTACTGCCACAGTACCCATTTCTGCCGCCAAGGACTTTGGACTGTTTGTCAACTGTGTCTCACAGGGTACAGGGGCAGTGCTCCTCGGATCTTTGTTATTTAAAGCTCTGAGTGGCACTGCAACTGCTATGGGTAAACGTACACACACACACTCAACATATCCCGCATTAGGGAAGCCCTGTGTCGCAGGTGCCATGCACATGCACATAGACAACCACAAATTACACCCAAACTCACGAAATAAATGTAGGCCATACAAATATTTCTCCCGACCCGGGAATCGAATCTGGGACCTCTGCGTGGCAGTACAGCATGGTAACCTTTCAAATTAGGAGGCAATCAAACGTGTCGTTTACCACATAAAAAACAAAAATACTTACTACCACACTTACTACCACAATGTTTTTTATAATATTCGAGTAGAATACAATATCTTTCCTCCCAACGATTCTCTAGGGTGGTGGGCAAAGTACGGTCCGCAGGTAACACTGCCCAGCGAAGGGCTTTAAATACGGCCTGCCAACGTCACTCCTAAAGTAGGAGTGCCAAACCCTCGGGAATATATTTTAACAGTTAACATACACGCAAAATAACGAAACTGCACAATAAATTTAGACGACCTCTGTGGTCGAATGGCTTGCACATCGGTTTTTATGGTGTGGCCATCTCTGAGGTCTCGGGTTCGATCCCCGGCCGAGTAAATATATATAAATATATAAATAGAAAAGTAACTTTTCTATATTCTAGGTCTAGACATTTGTGGTACCGTCGTTGTTTCCGATTTTCGTAACACTAGTGCTTTAGATACTTACTTTGGGATCAGAACAACGTATGTCATGTCTAATATTTGTTTATTTTTAATAAATAATTAAAAACAGTTAAAAAAATTGCTTGACTCGAAATGCTAGACTCTAGATGATTCCAAAAGTCCCTCTATGGCTTAAAACGAGTATACTTTTCTTGAAGTTACATACACGCAATATTAAAATATTCTTGTTTCCTTATTTCCAGATAAAAAAGGCAACAAGTCGGGCAAGCACAAATGGTTGCCGTTAGACATCGATGTGAAGACCCGGCCAGGGAAGCACGGGCCTCAGCACTCCTCCAGGCCAGACAACGGTATGTACGCACAAAAATGACCTAGAATTTGAGGCGGTACTTTACATATTTTACGATATTTTTAACCGACTTCAAAAAAGGAGGAGGTTCTCAATTCGACTGTATGTTTTTTTTTTTTTATGTATGTTACGCGATAACTCCAGTATTTATGAACCGATTTATATGATTCTTTTTTTGTTGGAAAGGGGGTACTTCCATAGTGGTCTCATTTCATTTTGAAGAAAATCATCCACCTCTAAGGGTGGCTTTTCACGCATGAAGATTCATTTTAATAAATAGCGTCTAAATTTTACTAAGGAGCAATTATTTTAATGGTTGATTTTGCTATTTCTCCAATCCAAGGCGTTTTTCTCTCCATATACTTTGAGTAGTGAGAACCGATTTTTGTTATCTCCAGTGTCAAGTCCTGTATAGTTGCGAATTTAAGGATATTTCAATAAAACTTAGCAAATAGGCGTAATTCAACGTACTTTTGAGGTCGGTTTTTTTAGTACTCTGTACTGAGATTATAGAGATAATTATTTTTTACTATGGGGCACCGTAACGGGGGGACCCGATAGTAAAAATCGCATTTAGTTCGTTTCTGACATAATATAATTGCGCGTTGAGTTTGACGATCCACGGTGACCCTTTGTGGTGATATATCGAAAGAAGTGCGCGGTGTCAATAAAACTCGATTTAATTTAATTTAAATGTAGAGAATATACAATATACGTATGTCCAGCAAACAGTAGCATACAGAAGCCTTGATGAAATGTGTATTAGAACTGCCGTCCAGCGCCCACGCCTCTTTAAATACAATCAGGTCTAAAGTGTTTCCTGTGACAGTTTGCACTACAAAAGTTTGGTGTAAGTTTGGTGGCTGTGCTGCACCTCTGAGTCTTCTTGTAGGAAGCATGGTCAAGCTGAATGTCCGAGGATTCAGTAGAGGAATCCCGCCCATCAGTAGAACTTGTTTTACAGTTGATCGACATCATAACCTATAAACGTACCACTAGTGGGCACGGAACCTCTTCTATAGATGGATTAAGTCACGGTCTACTTGCTTGCTCAGTGTAGGTTTGGAAGTTTTATTCGCATTCTACTACGTTCAAATTTCATCATGGTGTTTATCTTCATAAGCATGTGATAATTATTAAATTAAATCAGACATGACTCGAAAGTGACTCAGTGGTGTAGGCCCTCGTTGGTAATCGAACCCAGGTCTTCCGATATACAAGACAAGTATTCTCCTAACAAGGCTACATGAACTAATTTGAATAGTATTCCCGTACTTTAGGCCTTTTTCTCTTTATCAATAGAGATATTGGGTTACGCAGTGCGGGTATAACAATTTTTATAACAGTTAATGTTTATTGAGATTTCTTTATCCAGTTATCTCAATATCTTGATATAAAATACAGGTTATTTATTGCAAGTAATAAGTAGTTACGTACTGGTTATTAAAGCATAAATTTGTTCTACGCAATATTTATGAGGTAGGAGTCCTCGGTTTTACCGCCTGTTTGTAAAGTATAGTCCTAATTTGTAAGCTGACGTCCTGTCAAGTTATTTTATGCATATTAATCGACTATAATGTATATACATAATCACTATGGAACACCTGATAATTTTTCATAATAACGGGGTCTATCAAGGCAAATGATACTTAAATTTTTCAAAACCAATCATTAGGAATTAAATTGCCCAATCAGTTAAAAAAAAGTTTCTAAATTCCGTGCACTGTCTGGATATATATTGTATAAAGTTATAATTTATAAGCTGACATCCGTGTAAGACATCTTCACAGCGTGAAACCAAATTTGTGTTTATTATTAGGTCCCCCTGAAATATTTTTAATCGTGATTTATGGGGGCCCTTTGTAGTTTAATTTGTTTTTGGGTACAAAATTTGTTTATTAATTGAATAGTAAGCTATAAGTCCAATAAATATAGTATTTAAAAAGTTTATTTCGTACATCACCTATAGTAATCATTAGTAACAAATTGTCTTAATTAATTAGCTTAGTAAGTAAGTGATTTTGAAAACGATTCGTTCCGGATTTGGATGTCTACTCCCATGACACCCGTCCGCAATCACCTGTTGCTGTCGGATTCTGTTGGTGATGCAGCGCATTCCGCATCTCGGAAATGATCACTGCGGGCTTCAGCAAACATCCTTAAAGTGCGAACTACTGTTTATTATAGTTGTTATAATTCCTTATTTCAGATACAGTGTCACTAAACGGCGAGGAGCGCGGACGCGGCGGAGGGCGTGGACGTGGCGCGGCAAGAGGCCGAGGAGGCCGAAGAACAGTGCCCCGTCCTGCTTCAGCGCTGCCCACGCCGCAGCCGTTGTATCACCACCCCCACGATTATAGCCATCATGCAGATTTGGCACAGGTAAGAGAGACAAAAATCTTTTAAGAGTCTAACCGCATTACGTTGAAAACATATCCAATAAGTGTAGCGACTCAACATTTAGACAAGACGTCAAAACGACCAACTAAATCTCGTCTCCATTACAATTAATGCAAGCTTGCATTAATTTGTAAAAAACGTGTTATATCGATTATGTATAATCATGAGTTAATAATAGCCACTACTGATCTTGTCTGTCTGTACTTCTTAAAAACCTTATTATAAGAAATAATGAAATGATGAGGGTGACATTTTTAATTCCACGGCCTTTATGAGGGTGATACGAGTACGAACATATTTTACTATGGGGACCCCCCGCCACTCTCAAAACGCTGTTCAATACTAAACTATTGTAAGGGGTACCCCATCATAAAAGTTGTTTTTATTAGTGTAAAATCAATCACCCTTTAAAATATTGTGAAATATAATATCAACTTATGTAAGCAATATATTTAAAATGGCCAATAACGAAAATGTCTAATCTGTTGCTACACTTATTTTCTATTATTTAATGTCAGGCCAAAACTTGTGGCTCGGATAGGACCCGTATTCTTTCCATTATATAAATAAGCAACCGCGTTTTAACCAGGAACCAACCGCATAGTTTTTAACTTTTTATCGCGTGCAAATTTGAACACAAAATGAATGTTATTGCTTATAACTAATTACATTTTTCTTACCACGGTATGATTACTTTTTATTTGAATCCTGTGCTTTTAGTGTTTACAACAGTAAAAATTAAAAGAGTTCGACTTTATTCTCACGTGTGGATTTAGTGGTTTGTCGAAAAAAAGTGAGTGACAGTGATAAAGCCACAAGTAATCGAGAAGATTACTAGAAGACAACATATTTATTCGTTGAAAAATGTAGTTAGCAATGAAGGTATTGCAGTATATTAGATCGTATATTTCACCAAAACCTGGCATGAAAATATTTTACATATTTCTTATAATCACTTGATGTACTATGTATTTAAAGTTAAATTTATACAATAGAATAAAATAATAATTTAATAAAAAAAATAGGAAGTCAAAGATATTAATCAAAAATTTTCCATTTTTATCAATATTGTAGTGGCATTGAATAACTAATAAATTATGCAATTTCATTTTAATGAAATATATAAAGGTAATCAGATAAATCTGTTTTTAAAACTGTCGTCTGCCGCTGGCCGATCAACGTAATCAAAATGCGAGCCGGATTTTCGTTTGTCTGACGTGCCGTGTCGGTACGGTATCGGTTGTCATACATTCAATATAGTTATATTTATATTAGAGTGTCGCAATCTGACGTGACGGCTTGTACTGTAGGTATGAAACCGAAACCATTCTGACGCGTCACGACACGATACGTCAGACAAATGTAAATCCGGCTACTGTTCCGGAATATCGGGAAAATATAAAGAAGCCATACCGTGGTAACAAACCTCTAATTAGTGATAACCATTTAGTGAATAACCACGAAAGTCTTAACATCTATGAGATTAGTGTACTACAATTGGACGTAGTTAAACCAAAAGGATCCAATGCACATCCGAGACTCATTACTTTCGAGATATGGCACTTTAAAGTTTAAAAGTGTTTTACTCACTCTTCATGTCACTCTTGTTTTATTTTCAAAAGTTATAATGTCATGTATCTCCAGAGATATTTATGTTTATGTTGGATTTTTATTGGTGATATAAGAGATTAGACTTTAGGAACCGTTTGGTACATATAAGTAATTTTTTTTATAATTTTGTGGATTGGACCCTTTTTGCTTAACTACGTCCAATTACTAATATAGGTCCTTTTTACTTGACCCCAAGGCTGCTAATTTTAAATCATCTCAGTTGAGTGTCGATAATATATTGTTATTGGCAGGATTTCCTTACGTTTAGCATTCAGTTTCTAGTATTCAAGAAGAAAGCAAATTAGTAGACTTGGGCCTTGGTGCATTGTAAATTTTACCATCTGCATTTTGTGTTAAAATTTGCATGCACTGAAACTTTTTTTGATTTACTGGGCATACATAAAGTCTGAGCATGTATTGTCCATGGTGTAAACGCTTTTCTCAGTTTCAACGAGACGAATGTCTACACCAAAATGTGTCCCTATTAGATCCGTACCTACCCATTCAGTTATCATTTTTCATACATTTTGAGTGCCACTTTAGATAAATATCTATTGTATAATCAATCATGGCTTCATAGCTTTATCATTTACATCATATTATTTCTGCATATAAAAAAATTATATCATCATATCTGTAAACATAAAGCCCTCTTTTAAATACAAAGAAAAAAACATGAAACCAAACAAGTTCTGCAATGGGGACACCCTTAAATCGCAATTAAAAAGAATTCAGGGGGACCATAGTAAAAATTATATAGTATCAGGTTATGAACATATGTCATCTAAACTCTGTGGAACGGAATTTGAAACTGACGTAACAGGCCTTTTAATTATGAAGTTATTCGTAAACATGCAATTTAATTTCTGTAGTTTACTGTTTCGAAAAATCAATAATATCATCTTCCGCCATGCTGCTTGTATGTATTATGTTTCGGCGACTAGCAGGCCTCGAACAACGCATGAGCTTTGTAGGTGCTACTCGTTCCAAAACTCATTGAATTCGGCCCTGCATCTACCAAGGTGGACCGAAACAGAGCTGTGTTTTAGTAAACTACAGTATATAGAGGGTTATTTGTGTGATACTAATATCATAAACAATAACTATTGTTCCATCTACTAAAACATGTCATGTGGTGCTCAAAGTTAAGTGAAACCATCGCAAGGGACATTGGTTTATTTTTTTATTATTATGTACGTAATTTTTTATTTCACCATGTTTCGGGACGTGACGCACCGGTCCATCAATACAAAAAAGTTTTACTACTAAGACCCCCTTCGACCCGCGAAAAACATGGCAAGAATTTTTTATGGTAAATGTTCATGGGTTTCGCAATATTTCAATCACTACGTAAAAATATATTTTGTAATTGATTTTGCAAATACTTTCTGTTGTTCGAAATTGTTGTAATGATTGTATTAGGTATTTTAAATAAATGCCGTCAAAATACTGTACCTATTTTGTATTACTGTACCTATTTTTTATTTTGTATTTCAAAATTTAAAGTTTTATGTGTCTCATAAAACCATTTTGTATTTCGTATTTTAAATACAATTACAACATATTTTGTAATTCATGTTTTAATTAAAACATAGTACGTATTTTGCTCAGCCCTGCCAATATGTATGGAATAACAGATTTAAGATTTATGCGTGAGGAAAATTTGGTTCACTTTTTCCCCTCTATATTCGGTTTCTACATAACAAGACTCATTATTGAACGAACCATGACTCGAATCGGACCTAGAACCCAAAGCATATTTTGCGAAATTCTGGGGGAGCTTAGCCTAACATTTAGTTCAAGAAGATATGTTTGAATATTTACTAAATGGGTAGTTTTCAGGTTAGTTTTCTCTACCTAATTTCGGTGGCACTTTTTATTATTTAAGTATTCGAGTATATTGTTATCGTGATATATTAAATACTCATATTTTTTATTTGCAAGTTACATGGTTATATAACAGGTGTTCTTATGCTAATTGTACTTCACATGTAACACACTCCGCAGCACTGCAACATTTTGAGGGCACTATGTCCTTACTTTATTAACTGTATTAATAAAATAAGATTAGGAATATTTAGTAATAAAACTAAACAGAATTTTAGGCAGTCAACAATAAATATTAGTAGTTTCATTTATATTAATATCTCATACCTGATACACTTATGTCTGGTTATTTGAATTAGATTTATAATACTGTCGAATATTAAATAACATTTAATGATAATATTCCAGAATATTCAAATAAAAATTGCCACCGAAATTAAGTACAGAAAACTAATTTGAAAATAACCTAAATACACTTTTGACGAATTTTTTTATGCCGATTAGAAGTTAAAACCTATAGTAAAACTTCTGAGTATTGATCAGTAGAATGTCCCTTTAAATATCGTGAAATAAAAAAAATACGTCCTTTATTTCTATGTATTAATATTATTCATATTGAAATAAATATACTAGATGTTGTTTAATTACTATGTATTTGTATAAATGGTACTAATATTGGAATATTACATCGGTGTTTCATAAATTCACCTTGAGAGTCTGATGAATAATTGTCGAGATGAAATCTATTAAAACGTGTTCTTTTTTAAATCTATAGTTACTTGTAAAATGCTAATAACCTCGCAGTACTATAATATGTACACACGCCAGCACATCAAGCTAGACATTGACGTATCTTGTTCCGTTGCACTGGAGGCGATTTTCGAACAAAAATGTGTAGTCTGATGTGTCTTTGTCCGTACAACATAAACAAAAACTTTTGTTTTGGTCGCGGAAAACTCTAGAAAACTTTCATTATTGTAGCTAGTTGTATGGAGCTTGTACAGCGCACAATACCCTTAACATTTCGCTTTTGAAACGGAATACTGTTGTAACTCAAAAATGGTGGAATTGGAAAAACACGATTTGGATGTTTAAAAAAACAATGAATGGATGTTATTACGAATAATGTGATTATTTTTGTTACATAATATTTACTTATCCATTTATTAACGAAAATATTGATTACTTTCATTATTTTTTTCAAACAACCGTGACCATGGTACCTGTAAAGGGCCCGAAACGTCGGTTTGTTTGAAAAAACAAATATACGCGATTTAAATCCGGAAAAATAGTTTAATTTCCTAATTTTTTCAAAGTCAAAGAATAATTTATTGCATAGGTAAAATAAATTAAACTTTAAAACGTCGTATTTTAAGCTACTGATCGTTCATTATGCTGACTTCGCTGAGAACAATGAGAATGAAACTCTGAGGATTGATCTTTTCAAATAAACTTAAATGCTATGGAATGCACTTTGAATCAAATTTGTGTGGAATCTAGACCCATGTCGTCTTCCATACATCTTTATCTAATACGTAGTCTTCAATTTTGTAATATGAATTTTTAATTAAAATACTTTTAATGTAAACTTTAAACTTAGGAAATGATAATTTTTAATATAAACTCCGGAACTTTGTTATATATACATGTAAAGTTCCCAATAAAAAAATCGCTTACCTTGAACCTTTTGAACTTCCAAATCGTATTTTCTCAATTCCACCATTTTGAGTTACGACTGTTAAACCATGATGTGCAATTTGTCGCGACTGCACAAAAGTTGCGCGTGAGCAATTTCAACCGCGTAATATTTGTTAAGTTAGCTACGAACTCGATATAAAAGATAATAGAGAAAATATGTAAAAGTTTCAATCAAGAATAAAAAAGCTTCCTAAGGTAGCATCAGACTCTCATCTCCCTTTCATCTCACGCTCCCCTCCTCCCCTAGCTCCGCGCAGCTCAGACAGTGCCGGGCGTCGCACAGGGCCTGGTCCTCCACTACGGTGCGCTGGGGGCAATGCCGCCACTGGCGCCGCCTCTGGCGCAGGCGTTCTACTACGGCGCGACCGCAACGGGGGCCCCCTACGGCATGAGCCTTGACACCAGCACGCTGAAGGACCTTATCAGGAAACAGATGTAAGTAATTTACTTTGCGATATCACATCATTCGCTCATGGAGCACGGACGGAACCTATCAGAGCGCGGTTATTTGCACAGACTGGTTTCCGTACATTTAATGTTGGGTGGTTTCAATCTGTTTTGCTGTAGCCTACATGTAGTGCCGCGGAGATTATGCATACATATTTAATTAGGTTGTATTTTGATTTATCTATCTGGGTTTTATTAAGTGATTTGTTGAGGTATTTTTTTCTAATATATAAAAAAAACATGTTCAACAATGGTAAAAGCCCCTAAATAAATTAAGTGTAAAAAAAACAGTCACATAGTATATAATATGACAAATAGTGAACTCCCGCCTGTTCGACGCATTAATGTTTACACTTCCCTTGGATTTCACTGACGCGCTTCTACAAGCGTCTCATTTGAAAGCGCCCTTGAAGACACTATGTATAGCAACCCCTGGCGGTCACAAGAAAAAACTATCCTATCTATAAAAATATTAAATTGTATTATCAAGATTAATCTCGTGGTAGAGGTGCTGAATCTACATGTCAACAGGAAAGAGATAAATTAAAAGCAAGACAACGTTATTTGAAATTAAAACTATTATGGCCAGCTACCAAAAGCGATCTTGCGGCCTCCCACTGCATACGGAGTTCGCAAAAACACAAAAAAATTGATTGTTCACAAATGAATTTAAATGAATTATTATAACTATCAAAATGTTTTATGTTCAACAAAACATCGACAGGAAAATGGTTTACAACAGCACCCTCACAATAAGATTTAAACCGAACCATATGGCGTGTATGATAAGAATGATCCGAAGTCCAGAATGTACAAAGCGTACTGCTGTTTCTCATAGGCTGTCATTATTTGAAGATACAAAGAAAAAACATTTACATTCTCAGAGAGTACTACTTCAGCCCGGACAACCTTGCGCGCGATTTCTTCCTCCGCCGCAAGATGGCGGCGGATGGCACGATTCCTGTGACGCTGATTGCGTCCTTCCACCGCGTCCGCGCACTCACAGCTGACGTACAATTGGTGCTAGATGCAATCAGGGACTCTGATAAGCTGCAGCTTATACAGGGATTCAAGGTAAGACAATCTGCCTTTCTTTGGCCAACCTCAAAATAACCAACTTTACAGTAACCGACTTTAAAAGTTACCAAGTTTCGAGTGGCCGTTTTTGCAGTGATCTATTAAAAACTGTAGGCGAATAAAAGTTACCAAATAACTAATTACAGTCAGATTAAACTCAAAATTATTAACTTCAGTTTAACCCATTTCATAGTGACCGCTTTCATCCTTGTATAGGACAAGGTAAAGAAGAAAATAAACAATTCTAATTAAATTTTTTTCTTTTCTAGTACGTTAAATGATTAAAAATATCCAGCCATCCAAAGACAATATTCTCACTAAAATTTATTGGTACTTTGAGCATGAAGTGTTTTATTTTCTTGTTCAGGTACGAACAGCTTTCGAACCAACAAAGTGGCCGATCCTCGATATTAACACTGTGAGTAATGAAGAAGGCGAAAAACACCAGCCTGACCAACATCAGGCCCACCAACCTCGAACTGAACGACCTCAAAGTGACCAACCTCACAGTGATCAACCTCAAAATGATCAACCTCAAAATGACCAACCTCAAAGCGACCAAACTGAAAGTGACCAACTTGAAAGTGACCAACCTCAAAGTGATCAACCTCATAGTGACCAACCTCAGAGTGACCAACCGCACCAAACTGCGGACAAGCAAGAGGCAGAGACACAAGAGGCGCCGAGTATAGAAGAAAAAGTGACGGCTGTTGAAACTATACAGGCGAGTTGTACAAAATTTAATAAACACGTGAATACTTTCAGATTTCCCATAGATGGCACTATGGCTAAAAAGTAGTTGGAAAACCAAATATAAAAGATCCGACTACAAGCACATAGAAAAATTCGTGAGGTCTGCTAATTCGTTCCGTGGCTTAGCTGGTATAGCGTCTGGCACGGTTTGCTGGAAGACGTCGGTTCGAATCCGGCCGGGTCGAAGGATTTTTTTCTAAGTGTTAAATTTAATTGTAACGTCACACACACTATTTTAAAGTCACTGGCGATTTATGCAACTTTGGCGTAGCACGGATTGGGATAGGAAATGAAAAGGAGATGCGAGCTCACATATAAATTATCTGGCGTTACCAATATAGTAATATGAATTCAGTGATTTTTTTGGTCATATTACGAAATGGGTATGTCCATACTAAGAAAACGTTCATATTTTAAGTAGAATAACTCCATTAATTCCGATCACTGCTAATTAAATATGGATTTATGTTATCCGAAAAATAATTATTATTTAATTATATTTTAGCAAACACCACAAGAACCGCAACCAGAACCGATAAACGACCTAAAGCAGTCCCTGACTCCCGAAGAAGTCCCAGAAGAAAAGCCAGAACAGAAGGAGAAGGTAGAAGAAAAGGATTCGAACGAAGACCCTCCACTGCACGAGAGCAGTGAAGAAAAGACGGGAGAGAAACGGTGTGTTAATTTGATTTATTTTTATTTATTTATTCATTTTCAGGTTACAAAAAACCCGTAAAACACATACCTTATAAAGTAACATACATAATATGATAAAAACAATTTACTTCTTTACACGTGCGATGCCACGTTGGTGTCCGATAGCCGTCCTCGGAAACGCCGAAACATGACACCCTTCGGCCAAAAGTCCTCCTTCATGAAGGCCGACAGATGTAAGTCCTCCTTCATGAAAGTCGACAGATGTTGAGTTGGTACTTTCACCACAAATGAATTAAAATTCACCTTGTGGTAGGACTCCAACTGCTCGACTCTCAGGGCAGCTTTGGCTTTCACCCGTATGTACTCTACAATATCTGCAGACTTTGTGGATTTATGAGTGCTGGTAAAATTACAGGCACATCGGACTTGTCAACATATGTCTCAGGGTGACGGGCGCAGTGGCAGTGCCCCTCAGATCTTTGCGATTTAAAGCTCTGAGCGGCACTACACTTGCTATGGACAACCGTGTAGCAGACAGCACGACTTCTTCGTTCAGTTGCTTGGTATGATAAAAACAAATTCGCACCCCTCATGAAAAATGGCATAAGCGGAGTTCCGTCAAAAACGTTTATTGTTCCATTTAGATACGGAAAAATATAACCCACATCCTTTCCAATTGTTGTAACTGTATCTACTAATATTGTAGATGGAGTTACAAGAATTGGAGAGGATGCGGGTTACTTTTTACATTCTATTTTATTCATAGCGAAATAATGCAAAGTAGAGTTTAATTGAAAGTAAATGAATGTACCAAGGAAGCAAAAGAATATGCGAGTGTGCTGTGCGGAGTTGTGTACGGGATGAAAAGATATCGAGTCGTGTGGTTGGTTGAAGTAACAGAATTAAATGGAGTAATTGAGTGATTTTTCAAAATTATTCAAAATATCCGCGTTAGCATGAGCATCCGCATTGATCGATACTGATTTTCTTTGCGGATGTTCGAGTCGTGACATGACCTAAAAGGCACGCTGGAATAATTTACAAACCAGCCGGAAACAGACTGTAAGCCGAAAAGGCAGCTCAGCTGTTGTTTTTGACATATAAATTTGATTAAATTCCACGACGGTTTAGCTATAGTTTGTCTTTTTTGAAGTTGTAATAAAATTACATTTGTAGGGTTGCCGGTTTTCATGAAATTTTTATGTAGTTTTATCGATAGTTTTATCAATAGATTGTGTTGAAATATTGCCAAAAATTACTGAATTGTGAAAGTTACGACGTTCTTGCGTTATTGCCTTCTTTATTCTTATTTTGACATTTGGCCTTCTAGTATCGAGATCAATGTCTATTCACATACATTTTAACAAGAATAGCAGGATTTGATTATCTGTATTGAATTAAAATGAAAAACTTTAAAATATGTCTCCTCTTTGTTTTTTTTCTAAATACAGCGTATGTATGAACTTACAAAAATTTACATTTTAAATGAAATTGTGCTCAGTAATTGGATGAATAATGGGCTGAGGATGATTCAAATTAAACAAACTCGGCTATTTATTCCAAAAGCGTGACCAATATTCAGTCGATAGTCAATAGAATATTATCGACTGGAATCACTAGCAGCTCGCAAGCGAGCAACACTATTGCGCAAGGATCTGTAATTTTACTCTTGTCTTCAAAAAAGACAGACTATAGGCAGATTGATTGTTTTCATGAAGATAGATTCTTTTGTTAATGAATAAATCACAAAATCATTTTAATAATACTTTATTTCAATACCAAAGATAATAGAAAGGATTTTTATATATGATAGATTCAGTAAGGTTGTACATTTTTCGCTTTATTTTTTTAAATAAAATTTTTTTAACTCAGTATCAGCATCCACTGATGTGTTTAAAACCTGCATTAGCAACAACCCTGTTCGAATCCGGGCATGCACCTCTTGAATTTTTCGGAATTTATGTACAAAAATTAATTCGAAATTTTGACCATGATTTGAGTCCAGTAAAAACGTAGGATTTTTTCTTTGTTTTCGACTTTGTATCAACAATAATAACAGGGTTCGAAATGATAACTATCCTAATAATTATCACACTAATTACCTGGATAATTATCTTATTATGTATAAAATGAAATGGAATGACAAAATGCTACCGCTAGCAATGACATTTCTTAAATATGGATACGTCTCTTTAAAAAAACGATAAGTGAAATCGTGTAGATTAGTTTTTATTATTATATTGTATGTGTGTTAGTTTTAAAGTATATATAATATAGGTGTATTTTGTTTTTATATTGTTATGTATGTTAGTCTATAAGGTATGTATATATGGGTCTTTGCTACCTGATATAAAAAAAAAAAAAAAATAATTTATGACCACAATGAGAAACTGATAAATCCACTAGACACGAAGTAATTTTTAGGAAACAACGATAACGATTTGGTTTGTGACTTTTGAGATTTATATTTCGACTGTGAACTGGCAACCGGAACTATCTCAATTTTGACAACTTTACAGGATGAAGAAGAAATCATTTATATAGCATCAGGTTTATTAAATTAAAATACGTAGTGTACATACATACATGTATAATAAAAATATTTAAAAATTTCGTATTTTTATTTAATAAACCAGTTGCTATATAGATGATTCAAATATTTTTTTCTTCACCTGTAAATTTGTCAAAATTGGGATAGTATCCATTGCCAGTTCACAGTTCGATTTGTTCCATTTGGATACGTCATACGGATATAATCGATCACAAACCAAATCGTTATCGTTGTTTCCTAAAGATTATTCTTCGTGTCGCTTTATCACTGTTTGTCAGTTTAGTAAAAAATTAAAGAGACAAAACTATGAATCAGCATGGATAATTATCGTATAATTATCATAATTACTATTAAAGAATAGTTAATTTGATAATTTTGAACCCTGGTAAATAAGCACATTAATTTGCGGCATACCTCGAGTACGTCAGTCGCTATGCACAGACGTGTTAGCGATGCAATAACCCGAGGTTACATAGAACGCGACTTAACCGAACCACTCGCGTCTTTACGCGATACGGATCATAAGGGTCTCTACAAGTTACTTTTACGGTATGAAAATGAAGCTATATATAGCAGGGTCATGTGAATTGATGTAATAATTTGTTCACATAATAAGTAAACCCTACTGTGAGAGTCCGCACGCATATGACTGGTGGGTAAATAAGACGAAGAAGAATTTTTCACTGACAAGGAGTTTCAGTTGACGCTTTTCAGGTGGGGTATGCGCTAGTGGTGTTCATGTAAAAAATATATCGATATTTTTTCCGATGTGATATATCGAAATGTTGTATCGATAATTTGCGAAATATATCGGTACAAAACATCGATATTTTCGATATATCGTAAATTATTCTAAAAGGTTAAAGGAAGAAAATTTTACTAAGAGTAAATAAGTAAAACCACCAGTTTTGACATAATTAACTAATGTATTTCTTATTCTTGTATTCTCAGTGGCTAGCCGCATACATACAACCGCCCACACAATAGGCAATATTATTATTGTCTACATTGTTGTGTGAGTGCGGCCAGCCAATGAGAATATAACCACTAGTAGTGGTCTACTACGTTACACTAACGGATGACCAGCGAATCAGCGTTCGAAGTGCGTTTCGTTTCTGCAAGTACAATTTTGAATTGTATACTTTCAACTTTGTACGATTTTTCATGTATCGGATAAAATACTAATCAATACTGAATGATACGGTAATATCGGAATGATTCGATATATCGAGGGCTTATATCGATATTTTTTTGAATATCGTGCACTCCTAGTATGCGCGCAATCTTGTTCAGTCTTTTAGTAAATCGTAGAATATTTTAGGCAAGCCGGTTTGAAAAGACGAATATACGCGATTAAGGTCCGAGAAAAAATAGTTTCCTTTCCTATACACATTTGGAAGCTACTCTTTAGTAGCAGTAGAGCTCCTTGTGAAAGAGTTCATCTAGGGAAGTACTGCTACCTTACCTTTTTCTGCCGCCAAGCAGTAACATGTGCATTACTGTGTTCTGATTTTGAAAGGTAAGGGTGCTGGTGAAATTACACGCACACGAGACTTCCGTCAACTTACGTCTCAGAGTGACGGTCGCAGAGGCAGGGTCCCTTAGATCTTTGCGATTTAAAGCTCTGAGTGGCACTGCAACTGTTACGGACAGGCGTGTAGCTTACCATCAGGCGCACGACTTGTTCGTCTCGTCAGTTGATATTATTAAAAATAAAAGTTATTGTAAAACTCGTGTCAGGATCATGGGGCATTATATCCTATTATAAAACGCTTACAGTGTATTTTAGGCTCTGTTGGGCTTTATTAGACTCGTATTTAGTAATATTGTGATGAGTGTATGTCGACTCAGTGGCGCCGCCCTCGCAGAGACACGATGTAACTGTTGTGGTGGCGAGACTCAATAGATACTCGTGAACAGCAAGTGCGCGCCAGAATTCCCTCGAGTGTGCCAGCGCGCTGTGCTGTGCACTGTGGATGTATTATGCAGCTACAGACAAAACGAATTATGATTTGTTTAATTAGCAATAATTACCTTAAAGCTTGAAATATATTGTTTGTTTAGACGCAAGAAGCAGATGGTGGGCATCTTCCCGCTAGCTACGATGGGTGGTCCACTTGTCGCTCCTGTCTCGAGTCTACTAAAGGCTGTACCGCCGCCGCCCTTGCCCAGGTGCGTATTTTTTAAACACTTCACCCATTGTATAATAAGTTAGGGCAACTTCCGCCTGGGGGCCTACTACAACCTCTTAAAGCAATATTACTTTAACCTTACATTGACTTTTCGTACCATGACGCGCTTAAAGTAATCATAATATAATGTTAAAAGTGTAATAACGAAATGAAACTATTTTTCCGGATTTAAATCGCGCATATTCCTTTACAGGTTTAACGGTCACGGTTGATTGACCGAAACGTTGATTTGTTTGAAAAAAAAAAAATACGCGATTTAAGTCCGGAAATCGCGAAAACTTTAGATCTCGATACTGTAATGTTTTATTGGCAGCTTTGTGACTATTCACTGAATTCGTACTATGACGCGACTTCGGCATTAAAATAATATTGTACTTATGTCAAATTCAGCAATTTTAAAGTAGTTACTCAGACGCAGTGGAAACAATATTAATTTCGAATTTTTTGTTTAAATATTTATTTGTGATGATTAAAAGTTAAGTTTAAATTATTTATGTACTTATATCTCTTCAATATTTTGTATATTTTTTTATTTAATAGTACGTGGTAAATAATTTCTATAATTAGAAAGACGCAATGTTCATTTTGTAAAATTATGATAGTGTCAACTGCTAGACACTAGATTATAATTCCTAATTCACATCGTTACAATCGAGGCTCAGCTTGTTTTATTTATTTTTCTTCATGAAGATGAGAAACGATAATTAAAAATTTCATTCTGATGAATGAGAACGAAGTGGGCTCTTAGTACACACCCATTTCGGTTCACACTTACGGACCGAGTGTGGTTAAAACCAGCCATCAGGCTGTGAAAAAGGAAGAAAACCCAGAGACTAAGTATAATAATATTACGCCGTATACCCATACCAATTACCTGGGCTTAACCTTGGGAATTCCCTGTTCCTATTATGAGTAACACACCAAACCACTTAGACCAGACCCAATTTAGGAAAGTTCTTTTCCCAAATTGATTTTACCTGAAATCGAACCAGGACCCCGATTCAGAACTCTTCGATATTTTAACCGAATCACGCGACTGGATATCGTTCTCGAATCGAAGGGCGCTTTCCGAGCTATTCCGTTCGAATTCGGATACGACATCGTTATCCAACAGCGTCTACGGAGTTAGTCGGTGAAATAGATTATAAGAAAAATGAAAATCCTTTTATATACATTTTTAAGACTTTTAAAGGCCTCAAATATAGGAATGCATTAGTCTAGCATTAAAATAAATTAATAAAATTGAACAAAATCCACACTTTATTCTAATAAATACGAGTTTTCCATAGTACATTCTTGCTTTGTAAACTATAGGACGTTCGGTAACTTTCATTCGATACCTGTGTTCTAAATAACGTTCGTAGCCTTTGCCGGCCGAGAAGTTCGAGTAATCGTACGGGTGTGAAGTAATTTCGGTTCGGTTTCGAATATGGCAGTTTGATGTTCGACAACTGAGTTATCGTAAGGTTCTGAATCCTTGGTACGATAGTGTCTTTAAGTTTTGTATGAAATGTATTTTTATTTCTATAAATTAGTGTAACTCGAGCTTCATGCTGAGTGTATTTACAGTGAAATGAGATGTCTTCTGTCCAGGATGTTTCGTACGGGCCGCGGCGGCGTCTCCCCAGTGGGGGGGCCCCACGACCCGCTCAACCCGGACGTGCCTGAGTTCGTCCCCATGACGCAAAAGCAGCCTAATTACAGAGGTGAGTCTAGGTCACATACTAGTCACTGTATCTTGCGCTTATGGCCATTAGTAATATTTTTTTTTAATTCTATTATCGCACCCCTGTACTATACAGGGTGATAATAATTTATTTATTTATTATATGAACAACAAAACAGATAGCAATCAAATTACATTGATACAAATTAAATATTATACAACAAAGCTCTGTACTAGATTGTAACCCTACTTATGTTGATATATCATTTTAAAGTAGCATAAAAGGCCTACTGTTCAATTTGCTGATAAATTACTTATTTACTTAATACTAAAGCGTCAAGGGAATGGGTGAAAATCTATACTAGTGCAAGTTGCATTACTACTCGTTTAAATACTATGGATCTTGGATCAAAAATGTCCAAATCGATGATATAGATAGATATTTTATTTGAGAGGTAAAGAGAATTAATCTCACCGTGAAGAACCTTATGCAAGTATGTGAGGTCCTGTTTCTGACGGCGAACACGTAAGGAGGTCACTTTAAATTCGTCAAGTATCTCACTGTAGCCAACATAAAATGGGATGATATTATTTGATACCCAAAGAAATAATTTGTCTATTGTAAATGTGCACTTTTTTAAATAAATGATATTTTTTTATATTTGATATGTATATTAATTGTTTCATCTATGTTAGTTGATCTACGGATAAATTATGAATGTACTGCATTCAAGTTAACACTATTAGTATGTTTAAGCATTCTAAATTAATATTTGGTATTCAATAATAATATTAGATCCTCGTTTTTTGTCATTGCTCTTTTCTTTTAACGATTGATGACATTTATTAGGATATCTTTTGATATTGATTTCCTAATAAATCTTGGTTGTGCTCTCGATTCAGTAGGTTAAGTTAGTATATGAAAAAGCAGCCAGCTACAAGCTTGCTTGCGTTTCCGGACATGTCTCAGGTCAAAATTAATATAACATTAGTATTCAAATATATCAACATTTACTTAGTTATAAAAATAAGTATCTAAATTTAATTTTTAATGCTCATTTGTTTTAGTTTTGAGGCCTAACATTAAACTATCAAAGTTCATTTATACAAATCAAACATATTTGTACGCGGAAAACATTTAACGTTTAATATCATGTTAAAATAACTGTTTTTCGAGTCTCCTGATAAAGTTGACTTTTTGACTTGTACCTCTTTTCACTAGAGCCACAGATACAACTAAACTATGAGACAAATCTAAATATAAGACATCGACAAATGACTGTTACCAGACAATTACGGATTACTATTCCATAACCGACCAGCAACATGACAATTTCTATTGCAAGATAAGCCATTCCTTGCACTTTCGTTTAAAAGTATAAAAAGACTCAACCGTCAATTACCATGAAAGAAAATAAATTTCTTGATAATTTTGACCCCTTATAAATAATAAGCAAAGAAATTTTCTTTAAATCCTTCCCTGCATACCTCGAGTACGTCTGTCGCTATGCACAGACGTGTTAGCGATGCAATAACCCGAGGTTACATAGAACGCGACTTAACCGAACCACTCGCGTCTTTACGCGATACGGATCATAAATGTCTCTACAAGATAGTTTTACGATATAAAGAAGAAGCAATTTCTGAAAGAGTAATTTTAATGATTTTATGATTTGTTAAAATAATAACTAAGGTATTTGTGACTTTCCTTTGTAACCATCTCACCGCAGCCGCTACCTTTACAGGAATCACAAATGTCGCAGATGTCGCTTTTCGATCAAATGCGTTTATTGAGATTTTTTGGGAAATTACTACACTAGTTTTAGTTATGATTATGAATACAAAGTTCGAACACGCAGAAAAATTATCGTCGACCCGGTGGGACTTGAAACCACGTCCATGCTGGATCGTAGGAATGCTCTAACCATCTGACCCACGGGCCCAGTTACCGTGTCTCGGATGGTTGCGAGTTACGGAGCAATGCGAGTTATTACACAAAAAATCCCAATTAATAACTAAGATAATTCGTTGAAAATTACTTTCATCATCTATCCATATACGACGATCCGTGCTCGAGTGGCTTGGGCCACTTGATTTGGCTTGGCTTGGGTTTTCATGGGGTCGCCATTTCTTAGGTCCCGGGTTGGATCCCCGGCTGGGTCAATGTAGAAAAAACTAACTTACTAGCCGGGGCTAATAGCTGTGAAGGTATCTAACTAGGTGACGAAATACTTACATTTCTCATAGATGGCGCTGCGGCTAAAAAGTCGTTAAAAACCCAAGCACAAAGACATAACAACAAGCACATAGAAAAATTCGTGAGGTCCGTTGGTTCGTTCCGTGGCTTAGTTGGTACAGCGTCTGGCACGGTATGCTAGAAGATGTCGGTTCGAATATGGCCGGATCGTAGGATAGTTTCTGAGTGTTCAATCTTTGTATTAATCATTATAACAAACTAGTGGAGTAATATATAAGAAATAATTGAATATCAATTCAATTCAATGATAAAACTGATTTTTCTATATTATCTCGTGTCTGGGTGATTGTGGTACCGTCGTTGTTTCCGATTTCAATAACACAAGTGCTATGGCTACTTACTTTGGCAACAGAGCAACATTTTGTGATGTTGTCTAATATAAATAAAGAATATTGAATATGTTGTTTCAGAGTCCAGCGACAAATCTAAGCTGGAGCACAGGGGCTCTGGCGTCAGTCCGGGCTCTGAGCGGAGTGACACTGATATCTGGACAGAGGTAAGATTGCGGGTTTTGACAGTGATAGTCAAGTTAGAATGCACCTTGTCTGCTATTAGGACACTCCTGGGCTTGTGCGCGGAGTCTTTTCGAATCATTCTCGTTCTAGTTACGATTTTTATTTATCACACGCGTAAACTGAAAGATGACGTCGGTGATAAAAAAAATTATATTTGATAGACTTTTTTTTCCATCATAGGCCCGCACTAGGGAAACCCTGTGTCGCGGGTGCCATGGACACACACATAGACAACCACAAATTACACCCAAACTCACGAGAGAAATAAATGTAAACCATACAAACATTTCTCCCGGCCCGGGAATCGAACCTGGGACCTCTGCGTGGCAGTCCGGCATGGTAACCGTTCGGCCACGGAGGCAGTTATTGTATATTACACCACTTGTATATTATACCATGTAAAATTTAGCTTGCTTGGAGTAACACATGTCAAATTTCATGAACCAGTGATGGGACATAATCAGTGTGATCGAGGATCAGATGTAATCAAGAAGACAAATCAAATGTGTAAAAATCTACAAAAATGGCTTTTGGGAATGGAAATTGTTCAAAAAAATGACAGAAATTATTTTTACAACGCCAAAGAATTTCGTTTAATAAAGAACAATGACCATTTTGGACTCGCAATTTTTTTTAGTCTCGACCAGTTGGAAATTTATATCCATCTAAATATACGATACACTTGTCATTATTTCTTCAACGTTGAGATAATTATGAACGAAAATTACAATAATTGTGACACCGATAAGTAACGATCTTATATCCGTAAGTCTTCTTTAACTTGAACTTGACTCTCAACTCAAGAAAATTCAAGTTAAAGTTAATGAGACTTCAAATTAAATGACAAAATCTAAGTTATGTTACGTTCGAAAATAAATGCTAACAACGATTAAATTTTTATAAATTATTTTTAGAGATTCGTGTCTTTTTTGCACCATTTTTACCTCATTCGTCTGTCGTTGTGAATACTTATTTTAGTATAATGTTTAACTCTGTGCTACAAAGTAACACCTCAAAAGGAAAATGTTGCTTAAATCAACTTTCCCTAACTAAAAAATATTAATCCAGTGTAATCAGAAACTATATACAAGTACAAATGAAACCCTGTGTCTACGATTGAAGATCTTCAACTTTAGCTGCTCCAGGACTGTATGGAATTTGGACATTGTTCTTTATAAGTTTGTTGTGCATATTATGTCAAAAATAAATATTTTATTGTAAAATAAGTTTGATTGTTTTCGGTATGCAGTACTCATTAGTACTTAACCATAGCTTATGCAAATAAATACAATTTCAAATAATTTATTTCCAGGTGAAACGTCGCACCAAAGCAGGATCCCGCGAACGTAGCGCAGCCCCTCCCGGTGCAGAGCTGCCAGCTGCCGAAGACGAGCAGCGCGAAGAACTTCACTTTCAGCTGGACGAGGAGCTAGATCTGCCGCCGCCCAGACATAACACCTTCACTGACGCCTGGTATGTACTTATAGTCCGTTTCCATGAATATGATTATATGCATATGGTTACGATCTAATAAACTGCAAAGTAACAGTAGAGGTCCTTGTGAAAGAGTTCATCCAGGGAAGCACTGCCACCTTAGTTCACTACTGTGTTCTGGTTTTGAAGGGTAATTCATTTTGTATGAAAAAAAATTTATGATATTTCACCGACTTCGGCTGTTCCTATCTTTTTCGTCCCATACAATGAAGTGATCCCTTCACGAAACTGAGTCGATTACCACTAAAAAAAGTTTATCAATTTTATTCATTGTTATGGACAACTCGGGCTTGTGCAAAATTTGTCTATGCCGAAATTGTTTTCACAAAAAAGACTAAGACAGTTTACTTGTATCTTCTATGGTTTCGGATATCCCCAAACTGTCCCGTTTTAATAAACACTATATTTAATTTGATCTTAAAATTTACTTTGAATGCCTAATTAGAGCCTTATTTTCTTTAAACGCTCTGTAATAAAATAGTTATTTTTGATACAAGTGCGGAAAGTTAGTCATTATTCACGAGTCTCGAGGCTTCGTCTTCTTCTTCGTCACGACACAAGTGAATATGACAAATCCGCACGTGTATCAAACGACTTTTTTTAATACATTTGCAAAAAAAGTACATTGAAAGTAAAATAAAACAGTATTTAAAAAAAACTCATTTTATTTATTTTATATATTAAACTAACAGGTCCGACGAAGAATCAGACGTAGAGTTCACGGACCGCGATGTGGGCCGGCTGCTGATCGTAACGCAGACCACGGCCCGTCCGCCCAAGCACGACGGCCACGACCGCCAAGGGGACTGGGCCACCAGAACCAAGATCACGCAGGACCTGGAGCAGGTAACAGCGCCCACCACATTCGCAGCGGCTATAACATTGTGTAGAACGATTGAGAACCTTTTTAGTACCGCTTTTTCATTTTCTTTTTATTTATTGGCGGTGTCTTTTTAAGATTTCGGTAGCGTCAGTTTTGTAAAAGGATAAGAAATGTTGCGATTGGTAAACTAAAGAGTAATGTGGACATTCCCTTCTACACATGTATTATTTTGTCGGGGGTGGTGCAAATTAGCGTATATAATAGTATTGGTAACGCGTATCTACACTAAACCAGATTTCACAGGAGAGGGATTTAACGTTATTACTTTGTTATTTAAATGGCTGCGACTTACATTTTTGCACAGTAAGCATTTATTTATGTCGTCTACGGACTGATAACAATAGCTTCCCGTATATCACTCTAATTTGGTTGCCACGACATTTGAGCGAATTTGATTAGGCCACTAAATTACCGAAATGGAGACGCATAATCAAATGCTAATTACGCGTAATTGCACTATCTCCGACGATATATATTGCCACTGAATCGAATTATGTAGTTTTCGTCAAGTATTTGTCGAAAACTACATTTGTATTAAGTACAAACAAATTCCAGCGCTGCAAGCAACTGCAAAAACTTTAATGAAACTTATTAATGAGAATTGTCAGGATGTATAAAAAAATTCCAAAACAAACTCACACTATGTACGCGCAGTGCTGGTACAAACTCAAAATTCATTGTTGAAAATAGTACCGTACGTATTTAGATAAAATTCAAAAGAAGGATGGCGATATCCCGTGTATTTTGTGACCCAGTGTTTGACGATGACGTGCTATAGGGAGACCTATCTATACTTGTGATTCATTATCAAAGCATCAAGAAAGGTAATTGAGTACCTACAGCCTGTGGAAGCTGAGGTTATAAAGTTGATATAATTTATATTTACAACATTGTCTTGTATTGTATTTGGCTTCAGATGTTTTAAAACAACAAGTTTTCGGTTTGTTCCCAAAAATAATAAAGAACTTCCCGAATATATCCAAATCTGCCAAACTCTACCACATTTAATATTAATTTATCATGTTCTGCAGCAATAAAAATGAATAAAAATTAAATCTGCTCAAATGGAACAAGTCTGCCACAAATGGTCACACTGTTCTCAATATAAATATGACATTGACATTAGCAAGAGGTCGCTTGTCAAAACGTTCCTTTGCAACTTTCATTATCTCTCATTTAAATATTGTCTAAATATTTTTGCCACATTGTGTTTTTTTATTGGCTTTATGTCATTATTGTTTAATTGATTATTTCATTAGGTATTTTATAGCTTTAATGTTTTATGTGTGCACTATAAAATAACCAATACTTCAAGTAGGTAAACATTCTATCATGCTTAAAATTTAACGTACGTACAAAAACGTTACCTAATCTATGGTCGAACTGAAACAATTGCGTTGTGTTCTTGCATCTATTCTAAAACACATTGTTTTGCAATTTCTTTATTCCCGTCTTCTAAAAATATACAAAAATATATTAATAACTAGGCATAAACTAAAATGTAAAATTCTACTAGCAAAGTTCATGAACGGCACTTCGTTGATTTTGGGTCAGCTTTCGCCATCGTTCTTTGCAGTGACAATTTCTTTAACCTAATGTAAAGTGTAATGTTGTGCAGGTCATCACAGACGGACTAAGACGCTATGAAGAGGACTTATGGAACGATCAGTCATCGGTAAGTATTCTTTATTTGTAATAATGTGTAGACGCAGGAAATAAGACACAATCCCAGTATCTTTGTTTCCACGTTAGGACAAAACAATTATCATAACCTTAAAAACAAATATCGTGTAATAAAACAATGCCAACCTGTACGGTCTGTCTTTTTTGAAGATGGAGAAAAATGACAGTTTATTGTGTGAAAGTGATGCCCACTCGCAAGCAGCCAGTGATTACAGTCGATTAATATTCTATCAACTATCGACCGACTGTTGGTTACGCTTATACAATAATAGTAATATAATAATAATAATGCACACTCTCATATAGCCCCGCACTAGGGAAACCCTGTGGTCGCGGGTGCCACAGATACACACTCAAACAACGACAAATTACAACCAAACTTATGGGAATCGAACCTGGGACCTCTGCGTGGCAGACCAGTATGGTAAACCTACGACCACGGAGGCAGTTAAGTTATGCAATGTTTCATTTGAATCACCATCGGCACATTATTCGATCAACTGTTGGGCACGGGTGCTTTTAAATTGTAATTTTTTTTTAGTTCATACATACATTCGCTGTATTTAAATTGCGTCCATTAAAAATATACATATTTTAAAGTTTTTTGATTAAATTCAATATAGATAATCAAATGCGCCTTTTGTTAAAATATTTATGAATAAAAATTGATTTCGATACTATTGGGCTACTATAGATAGATACTAGTGGGCTAACTGTTAAAACAGAGGTTCCCAGACTTTTTTCTCATAGACCACTTTCAAAATTTAGGTGGTTCCGGTGGGCCCCCTGCAGCTACATTTATACCATATTCCACATCCATATTATTTTTTGTCACGCCAACGTAGACCCTCGTCGAGTCTCCCGCGGACCCCTGGGGGTCCACCTGGACCACTTTGGGAACTAAGGTGTTAAAATAAGACTTTGTTGACGAGTAGTGTATTTATTTAAAAAGATTTCATTACAAGATATTCTTTGGCTCCCCCCCCAGCTCTTAAATTTCTATCCTAAGGTTGCTTGTTAGAAATTGCTACTTAGCAATGAGGCCGCCTGTTGTACATTGGCTTACTATGTGTTGTTCACATTACTGTTCTGTGTTCTCGTTGTAATTTTAATGTGCAATGAAGAATATTTCATTCATTCAAGAATAAAGAAAGCGTAGCAATAACGCAACAAGGAATCATTAAAACGTACGTCATAATACTCACAATTCAGGCATTATTGGAAACTTTTTACCTTTTACAATCTATCGGTAAAACTGTCGATAACAACTATATGACAGTTTGAAATTTAATGAAAACTGACAATCCTGCTAATGTCATTTTACTCTGTCTTCAGAAGCGTCAGACTATAAATTAATAATCAGAATTTGAACCATTCCCTCATCTAATCTATTTTAAAAAACATTGTTTTTCTTAAATCATAGCTTCGTCTTCGCTTTTAAGATCTCTATGTAATTTGGTAATCTCAGTATCAGAGTACTATAAAACCGACCTCAAAAGTTCGTGGAATTATATCTATTTGCTAAGTTGTTGAATGCGCGAAACCGAATTCATCCCCTAGTTTGCCACTTTTAGAGGTGGAATATTTTCTTCAAATTTAAATGGGACCAATACCGAGGTATCTTCATTCAAAGAATCATCAAAATCGATTCACAAATGGCGACGTTATCGCGTAACATACACATAAAATAAAAACAGTTAAATTAAGATACTCCTTCTTTTTTTGAAGTCGGTTAACAAATGAAACATTTGTATGTTTTCTATTTTTGTAAACCATTGTTATAAATACGATATAACACAGATTAACAAATTGTATCTATGCATTTCTGCAGTCATACGGCAGCCAAACAACAACGACGTATAAGACCGTGTCTGTGATCAGCCGCGAGCAGTTCGAGGCAGCTGTACCCTCCGAGCGGCACCACAATCCTGTTGAACCACCACCTCCGCCACCCAGGCCTGTCAGGGTGAGTTTACCTTTATTATTTAGGACATGTGCAAAAAACTACATCTTTTGACGGGGTGTCGTTAGACGAAGAGAGAGCAAACCTAAATCGATTGTACTGTTTGTTGTTTGTTAGTAGCTACGGTTACTCCAAAGTTCAAAATAAAAGGTATGTAGGTATGATCAGACTAGTTGCCATATCACATTTTTTTACGGGAACTTACAAGTTTTACTGTAATAAATTATACAGTCAATTTAAAAGTAAATATACAGTCAGATCAAATGTAAATATACAGTCAAATTAAAAATAAATATACAATAAAATTTGAATTTTATCAAAACTGGAGCTGAGTAGCGCTCATATTACTGCTTGGCGACAGAAATAGGGGTGATGGCAACATTTTCCTGGACAAGGAACTCTGTCACAAGGAACGCTGCTACTATGAAAATGTACTCCATTTAATACCGCGGCAATGTCAATTGATTAAAATCTTGTTGGTTGTTTGACCAAGCTGGGTTTTCCGGTACGATCTTTGGGGGCTGCCTATGCTCAACAGTGAACGAACGAAAACGTGAGATTTTATATGTGTACTTAGTTAAATATTTTAATATATATCAACAGCAGATGGAAGAACAACAACAGCCTGGCGGCAGTAAGGCGAAGCGACCACGACGCACTGCGCGATTCTACGCCGCGAATAAAGACCCGCACGCTACTGATGTTAGGTGAGTTTTATTTTATACTTTTTAAGATTTTTTAAGTCCTGTTATACTTTGTCTAACTAATTATTTTACTTTCAACATAAGTATGTAGAAGTGCCACAGTTATTGACATAGCCGCTAAGAAAACTGTTACTAACCAATTTATAGAACCCGCTATCTGAATTAAATATATAAAAATATAATTTTGAAAATTTTATTTTTAAAACAGGACGTAAATATTTAAAACAGCCATAAAAACCTAAAACGTATTCTGTGAAAAATTTTCGAAATGGTGTTTTATCCACGAAATATAGCATCTTCTTTGTTAATTACGTTATTCAGCGAATAAAATATCTTGTATCCTTGGTTGTTTAAACGCACCATTTTAAGTGCACATATTCTTCATAAATTTAAAATAATGTAATGTTTAAATGTCTTTATTAAGATATTAATATGGTTGCAGCAGTAGCAGGAAGCACAAGACGCGGCACAGCCTGAACCCGCCAGTGGAACATCACGTCGGCTGGATTATGGACGTCAAGGAGCACAGACCTCGGACGCATAGCACCGGGTATGTTGGCAATTTTAACTTTATTTTACCTTATTTATACCATGAACCAATAACACACGAGGATCGCTTATCCCGGTACAGGAAAGCTTAGTCGGGTATTTAGTACCTATTGGTCATAGAGTATACTATAACCAGAAATGGAGACGAAATGTCATTTAATTTGTTTGAAAGCTATTCCGCCAAATCATTACGGTGATAACTGCGCTCCTATTGGACGGCCCGAATTCGAAACAGTTGACGGGTGTGAATTGTATTTTTACCTAGATGGATAAGATATGAAGTTACCGTAAGAGACAAGTAGGTATTTTTCAATTTAATTTTATTTTTATTTATTTATTTAAAGAAAGATCAACTGCTTAAAACTAAATTAAATAATAATAGTAACAACCGAAAGCCAATTAGATCCTCACGAATAAAAATATAGTAAAGAATCTAGGTGCACAATTTAAACTTTTTATATAAAACATAAAAAAAAGAAAAACAACAGATGTTGTAAGCCCCACTAAGAATCAAAGAAGTGCTCACTCATGCTCTCATTTCCGAAATCACACTCATATTGAAAGATCCAGATCAAAAGTATCACATAAAATGTTAATTAACAGCGGTAGTGTTGACTTTGACATTTTATAATATGAGAGATGTCCCCCAGGTCGTCCCTCGGCGCGTCTCCCACGCTGGGCTCGTCAGTGGGGTCAGTGGGGTCGGTCGGGTCGGTGCCCGCGTCCCTGCCCACTTTCCACCACCCGTCGCACGGGCTGCTGCGTGAGAACCACTTCACGCAGCAGGCCTACCACAAGTACTATTCGCGCTGCTTGAAAGGTACAGTCTCCTACATTGCATGTAATTTGTTAATTTCTATTAGTTATTATTTAGGTTACATATTTCCTTACAGTCGATACAACTAACATGACATCCTAAGGGTTGGGTGCCTGGAGACCCATATTACAAATTCCGCTTAGTTTGCTCCAGTCTCCTACAATACATTACTCTAAGCATATGTAATTATCAATGGTCCCAAAAAGGTATTCCACAAGTAGGCTTTACTATAAGGAGCGACGTAGAATGTTTAAAACCACCAAATATTAATTAATTACGTTTTCGTATTCCGGATTCCGGAAATGGTTTTACTGCATCGTAGGACAAACTACGGATCTAGGAAGTCGAAGTTGTATTTTAAAGCAAGTCGAATGGTGCCATGTATAAAAAATGCAGTAGATAACTGACAGCCTTGTTTGCCGCTCCGTCATCCGCCATCTATGAGAAATCTATGATATTTGGTCACCCAGTTAGATACCTTTACAGCTACCAGCCCCGGCTAGAGTTTACGCTACGGCTAAAAAGTCGTTGAAAAACCAAATACAAAGATACGACGCAAGCGCATTGAAAAATTCGTGAGGTCCGATGGTTCGTTCCGTGGCTAAGTTAGTATAGCGTCTGCCACGGTATGCTAGTAGACGTCGGTTCGAATCCGGCAGGATCGAAGGAATTATTTCTGAGTGTTCGTATAATCTTTGTATTAATAATTACAACAATATATGATTATATACGATTGATGGATCCAATTTACTTCACTATCGAAAATGTAACAAAGGAAAGGAGAAAATATCTTTACTACATACATGCGTTACATAAGTTGGGTATGTATTTTAGATTCCCGCCTTACCCATGGACTAAAAGATGGATTTCAAATTTTCAAATGGGAGAGAAACGGTATTCCGCGTTATTATTATATTCCACAGTATTATTATTAATGTGGTATTCCGCATTATTATTATTAATGTGGTTTTCCGAATTATTATTATTAATGTGGTATTCTACAATATTGTTATTATTATTGCTGTGGTATTCCGCGTTTTTGTTATTATAGTACCGGCACGCTATGATAACTTTTTAATCAGCTATCCCTTTCAATACTATAGTTATAAATCCAAAAACTTAAAGATGCGACTCGCATTTGATTATATTTATTTCGATAATGAATTGATATTTGACCTCACTATTGTAATCTGTCAAAACGGCCATCATAGCGTTCCGATACTGTAATGTGGTATTTCGCATTATTATTAATTCGGTATTCCGTATTATTTATATGGTATTCCTAAAATATATGTCGTGTTTCTAAAAATTAATATGCAATTTCAGAGCGCAAGAAGCTAGGCATCGGGCAGTCCCAGGAAATGAACACGTTATTCCGCTTTTGGTCGTTCTTCCTTCGAGACCATTTCAACAGGACCATGTACAACGAATTTAGGTTAGTAGAATTTGTTGCCAATCATCGATACGACAGCACTTGGTCATCCTCTGTCAGATATAGGCCTCTTCAATTTAAAATCTCGACGAGTAAGGTATACTCGATCCAACCTTTTATTTAACTTTTGACTGTTCGAATTCTAACCAATTAGTGATGTCCTAATGCGTTTCTTATTCGATTTTTTATAACAATCGATTTTATTCATGAAGAAGTTTAAATCGTGAATATGAGCGGGTTCAAAAAAGAACATATTGTCTGAATGGGATCGTGACGATGCGTTTGACAATTTGTGTGCTTAAGAATTTAATAATGAATGAGGATTCAAGTGATGATTCCCGTTCATATGGAGAAGAATCCGACGATTCATTATAATAAACAATAAGAATTTATTATAATTATTTATAATTTATTTCATTTCATTATAATTTAATTTCTCAACTTGAATAATCTTCGTTACATAATCTGTTGACTCAATAAATATAGGAGCTAAAGAGCACGTCGCTTCACTAAAATTAAAAAATAAAGGTCCAGGAAGTATTGCATTTTTTTGTATATGGTAATGCATATGTTAAAAGTTAATGGTTGGACTGAGTATAACTAAGGGTATTTGAGAAGTTGCATGTGGAAGAAGGCTCCTTGGAGACGTGAATAAAAACGGTGTCACCGTGCTTGTAAGCGAATTTTATTTTTGATTTTAATGTCAAGTTCATTGTATTACTGAAATTACAAAAAATTTTTTATGAGTGTGTATATAAAGAAAAGGAAACTTTGTATGCTGCAAGGCGGATCACAGTGATTCTATTATGGACTTTCTGTAACACCTTTTGTAACTTGTGTACATCGAGTATATAACCAGAAATAGAGACGATACGTCATTTAATTTGTTTAAAAACTATTCTGCCAAATCATTACGGTGACAACTGTGCTCCGATTGGCTAGCCCGGAATTCGAAACAATTGACGGGTGTCGTCAATTATTTCACTTCAAATCGACCAGTTTAACTTGCTATAATGGACGAATCGTTTGTTTTGTAATTAGATGTTTTGCTGTTTTTCCCACACCACCGAATGGAACAACCCGTCATAGCTAGAGATATTATCCTTATTACAATAAATACAGAATATTTTTGGAATATACGAAGACGTACACACAGGTCAGTTGATGACGATGTACTATTTCAGCTTTCTAATTTGTGATTTCAACGTAAACGAGAGTTGATATTTGAAAGTGATATAAGCCCCATTTGACTGATGAGTTGCCAGATATAGATTATTGGCCCTTATTTCGTCTCTATTTCAGGTTATATACTCGATGCCTGTGTAATATAAAGAAATAAATGAATTTGAATTAAAAAAACAAGATTGATAATTTCAATTTATGTGCAGGACGCTGGCGAACGAAGACGCGAGCGCCGGGTTCCGATACGGCCTGGAGTGCTTGTTCCGGTTCTACTCGTACGGGCTAGAACGCAAGTTCCGCCCGGAGCTCTACCAGCACTTCCAGCAGGAGACCATCGCCGACTACGAGAGGGGTACGATTCTTGGTCCATGCTATAAATGAGAAACCATTTTCTCATTTACCTATACAGGTTGCAACATAGCACATCATCCAAATTATTCTTATAAATAAATAACGCACACACTCAACATAGCCCCGCACTAGGGCCTACATTTATTTCTCTCGTTACTTTGGGTGTAATTTGTGGTTGTCCATGTGTGTGTCCATGTCACCCGCGACACAGGGTTTCCCTAGTGCAGGGCTATGTTGAGTGTGCGTTACTATTTGACAACATAAAAAAAAGATACATTATTCATAGGAAGATGGTTTCTTCGTACACCAGTTTGGAATCCAGTATTTCTTCTGATGAAAAATCCTAAGCAAACATAACACCGCAGTACTGATTAATATGTTTTAATGTATTCTAATTTCCATTATTAATTAATAAATATTCATATTGTTAAAAAAAAATAATTTGTAAAACGTAAATTGGAACGTTCTTTATAAAATTAAAAATAAGGTATTAATAACTTTTGTAATTATAGTGGAAAAAATAGGGTGGGTTGCATTAATATTAGACGTAACTGGTTGATGACTGTACCACCTCAGTCAACCGTGACCATGGGTCCTCTAAAGGAGCCGAAACGTTGGTTTGTTTGAAAAAAACAAAAATACGCGATTTAAATCCGGAAAAATAGTTTTATTTCCTATGTGTCACAATCGCGAATACATAATAACTTGAAACATCATTCATATCTAAATTTTTTGAAAACAGGTCAACTGTACGGGCTGGAGAAGTTCTGGGCGTTCCTGAAGTACTACAAACACGCTTCAGCGTTGCAGGTGGATCCCAAACTGAATGAATACCTTTCCAAGTTTAAGACCATCGAAGACTTCAGGGTGCTCGAGGTATGTGGTGTATTCTTACCTAGATATATTTGCAAATAATTATCGTCGTGTTTACATTATGAGTATAATGTAGTTATACTCCAATTGTTTAGGTACGTAAATAAATGTAAACAATCTTGAGATGTTATAATTATTAGTACAAAGGTCGAACACTTAGAAAAAATTCCTTCGATCCGGTTGGACTCGAACCGACGTCTTAGTTGGTATAGCATCTGGCACGGTCACATAAAAATAATTGAATATCAATTCATTAAAAACCGAAATCTTGAGATGTCTGTTTAATGAAATATACATTTATAAAGTTATTTTTTCACTTCTCATGCTCTTAAAGTTCGTATTTATGTTGAGTGTAGGCTGCATAAAATAGGATTTTATGCTCTAGTGCATAAAATTGGATTTTATGCTCTAGCTAGTGCATAAATTTAAAAAAAAAACACATTAAATATGTCTAATTGTTGTAATTTTACATTCAGTTTTAATTAAATAATTGTTTATTTGTAATATTGCTGTTTAATTTCCTCGCAATTGAAGTGAAAAGCAGAGTGTATAACTCGTTCATAAAACCCATTTTACCCTCGACTTAAGTATCCACACAGTGTACTCGTCTCGGGTAAAATGACGCGTTTTATGCACTTGTTGTACAATCTACTATTACTTACCTTCAAATACAAAATACAAATACATAATTTCATATGAAATTGCATGCCTATTTTAAATTCCTATTTATTTGTAAAGTCAATAAAAAGATGTATGAAGATTGTTTACATTTAGTTAAGTACCTAAATAAATGGACTGTAAACATTGTTATTTTGAATTTGGGAAATTAGTTTACTATCATGGGTACAATTGTCCGATTCTTGTGAATTTATTGACAACAATATCTATAATTAAATGTTATATATAACGATGGAGCTGTGGTAGGCAGGCAAGCAGAGATCGTGGGTTCGAATCTGAGCGCTGAGCTTCTTGGAATATTTGTGAAATTTTATTTCGAATTTACTATGAGTCTTTCGGACGTGAAGGAGGTTCTAAACCGTTGGAAAACGTGTGAGTGGCGGATTATAATCGAAACTATAGTTTCCCAAAATTGTCCCCCAATGGGCGCTGAAGAGTCCTAGGAGCCTCGGAAGCAATTGGAGCGCGTTGATTTGACAAAAAAAACCTGATATAAGCTACACCACATATATCATCGCCTTACATTCTCAAACTCGCATCTTACAGTACAAAGTTACAGAAATGCAAAAAATGGATTGTATATAGAAATTTTGCAGGCCGATTTCACATGAGATTTCCTTCATATTTATGTACTGGCCTTTCCTATTCTTAAAGTAATGCATCCAAATACACACCTTTGATAAGAAATTTGTATTTTTTTCCATGTGAATTTTTGTTTTAAGTTAATATAAAAAATACGTGTTTTCAATTATTTTTGAAACCCTCGCCAAAGAGCAGTGGGATATTAGTCGATTATGTGTAAACATTGAACGTGTGTGCAGCCGCAGCTGAACGAGTTGCTGGCGTCGCAGGGCCCCATGGCCCCCGGGCGCGGCCCCCACGCGCGCCCCTACGACCGCACGCGCTCCGTCTCCGAGAGCGACCGCCAGAACCACGCGCACGCGCTCAAGAACCACTACAAGTCAGTCCGTCTATATGCTCAAGTATCCTGCCCTTGTCTTATAAGACTCGATGCAACGTCGACTGGCTTTGATTCCGCATAGCAGTCAGTGTTGAATCAATCGCTTTGGGAAAAATATATAGTATCATTGAGGATATACACCTGATTAATATACGTGTGAAAACACGATTTCTAAAAATTTTCACGATAGATAAAAATCACAAACTTACCTCGAAATTTTACGAGAAAACTGCTATATTCAGTAGGTACTTTTCATATACCATTTTTTTTATATGAACTGAACTAAATACATACACGTGTAGTGTGCGATACACATTTTTCAAATGGCTGTAATAACGTTTGTAAAAAAAAAATCTGAAATAAGCCTGTGTCCCTGCCTCTCGACACAGGCAAAATTAACCGTATTAGTACGCGAAACAAATGAATTCGAGCAGAGGTGAGCATTTCGGTGACTTTCAAGATATTGGCTGAGATTGTTAGTATTTTAAAAACAACCTTGTATACAGGGTGTAATCGTTAAGTGTGCCCAGGCGATTACTCCATAAATATAAGAGATATCAAAAAGTTTTAAACTGATATCGAATGTACGTTACCTAATGAGTAAATTGAAACGTAGTCGATCCGCACTAAATAGAAATTATCATTTTTATGAACAACTCACACTTGACCAACAAAACTGACTATGCCATTTTAGTAGGTCAATTATGCCATTCTATTTTTAGTCAATTAAAATATAGTTTCATTACTTTTTTTATAGTTGTTATCTTATTTGTAAACTTATTGTTACCTCTTAAAATAGGTCTAATAAAGCCTACCTACGAATGTCATATTAAATGTATTGGAGCGTATTTATGAAGTTTTATTTTTAAAAAGTTATTGATGTCGATTTACTCATTAGGTAACGTACTTTCGATATCAGTTTAAAGCTTTTTGATATCTCTCATATTCATGGAATAATCACCACAGTCACCTGGGTATACTTAACGATTACACCATGTACATAAGACGGGCATTTGACCGTTTTCCGAGTTAGGGCGCGTGTCCACGCTAAGAAAAGCCGGGTCTGTGCAAGAATTCGTGTTGTTTCTACACACGAGCTGTGAGAAAAAAATCTTGTCTACCCCCGACACGACGTGCTCTGCCGCTGTTGTATGGGGCGGGGTGAGATGCATTGTCAGTAAACGAACGTTTATGCGCGTGAACGGGTGTTGTTCATAAATTAACATATCGCACTGTTAATAACAAAATTGTATTAAACTCAAGAAATGTACTTTTGCAGAATCGATGAAAAACGAATTACTCACTTCCCGTGAAAGATTATTAAACGTTACGCATAGGTTAAAGTTTATTATAGACATCTAAACAATTTCCTACTTGCCAAATATGTTTAGAAATAAATGGGAAAAAATAATTTCATATTTTTGAGTAAGGACTGTTTTGTCCGGAAAAGGTTTGTCTCATTTTGAGTTAAATAGACATATTGTAATTTTTACTAACAATATTGTACCAAAACGATTGTATTGATGTGCAGAGATTAAAATTTTACGTTCATATGTAATATAATCCAGAATTTCACATATTTTGAGTTACGACACTATTGTAATAGCAGTGCGATATACGACAACATATTTCTTCCCATAGTCGATAGTAAAGCGACAGCTACCTAGAAGACTCGTATTGCACTGACACATTTTACCCTACAACGTCTGTCCGAAAGTATTCGTATCGTATGAGTATGTACTCGTCATTTTCTCGTTTGCAACAGACACGACATGTTTTCGTGGCTAGATCCGACAAAGTTCTTGTCGTGTATAAGTACATTCTCATCTTTTCTGTAGCAGACACGTCAAATTTCTTAGCGTGTACACGCGCCCTTACTGTTTCTAGTATGGACACTAGCTGTCCTCTTCAGTTATTTGATGACATGATGTTGTGCCGCAGGCCGTCGTCCAGCGCGGCGTCTTCTTCGAACAACCGCGGGCGGGCAGGGTCGTGCGGCGCGCAGAGCGTCGTGGCCAGGGACCACAAGCACAGTCAGTATCGATCAATCAACATACTACTATAGCATCGTCTGTTTTTGTCACTTTTGTGACGAAATTGTACAGTCATATACATGAGATACCTCACCCCCTAACATGCCCAAACCGACCCTTTGGTTCTGAGAGCCATGTTACGTATTGAACAAAAAAAAGGAATATAACTTTATTTTATAAGCAATACAGTGGAGTGTTGCTTGAAGATGATTAATATATTTTTAAAACCAATATTTCGTCATTTAACATCCAAGTAAATTGGTCGAGCGGCTTGTTGTATCGATTGCCAGTTACAATACCCGTGGTTCGATTCCACGAGCACTGTTTTGTTTTTACGTTATATTTTTAAAAGCATTGTTTAACTTTTTAATGTTAATGATGACAAATCACACTATTTGCTCACTAGAAATTGCCTAAGCTGGGTGGGTAGATATTATTAATAAAGTATTGGGTGGGTATGGGTATGGATAGATTAACAAATGACGAAATCACTCTGCAGTTTGCTTACGATCGTGTCTTCTGTGATGACGCATTGTTCCACTTTCGTTCCCACTTATCTATTCAGTTTTAATTATTTTCAAAGATTTTTTTCTTGTTTTAATATGCTGCACTTAACGGAATTATAACTTTAGAAATTATTGTTCTGTATGAACAAGACTTAGACATTCCTTACACCTGTCCAGAGGTTAAACACAAAAAAAAAATATTATATAGTCATAGCTAAATAATATTTTATTTTTAATGTGACTCGAACTATGCTTGCCTTAACTTGCAAAGCAATCCTTAGGCCTTACTAAAGCTGGTTGAAATTTGTATTCTGTATTTAAGTAAGAGCTATACCTTAAAGAGCAAATTGGCTTAAAAATTTTCTTACAATATCATTCGCAAATGAGACGACTTGGGAGTCGTACGAAAAAAAATTTTAAGGCTCACAGGTTAAAGGTATAACAATTTTCTCCACATTTTTGTGCTCAGAACAAAAGGTCGGCAAAGTCGGCTTGGGGAGTCAGGTATCTTGTGTACATAGCATTATGAACTTTATATCAATTGTGTAAAGTACAAACTATTCCCGAATAAATGATATATTTATTTGCTTAAAATATGGTTTACAAGAGGTGGTTTACAAAAAGTGTTTTATTATGTATACTTGTAGTATACATAATAAAACACTCCTCATATTTTACCGATATTGGGATATTGATATGCAAATCTGTGGATATCTATCTATATTTTGGCAGCTAAACTTCTATTAATTATAAAAAATATATTAATTATTAAGTTTATAAGTAATGTCATGTCATGATGATGTCAAGAATATAACAATAATATATATATTTTTTGTGAAATAGATTAAGTGATCAAATGAGTTTATTTAACTGTTTCTGTTTGTAATCTGTTTTTTTATGTATCATTTTCAGAATCGCCAAAATCGAAACCAGACCCCACGCAAGAACTGAAACCGCAAATAGCCGCGAAAACGCAGTGACGTGTAAATAAATTCGCTGTAAATAAATAAATAACACGACTGTTACTTAAATGCATTTTTATATACGTTATTATATACAGTGTTGACAGTGTATGACAGTGCTAGTGATGGACGCTGTGTATAGAATAGTGTGGTGTTTATATAATGAATAAAATAATGTTTTTGGTGAAGTTCTGGGGCTGCAGGCTTGTTTTCACGTGGAGCCTAGGTAAGAGAAATTTCTATATGTATAGTCATGGACTAGGAACTGAAGAGGACTGCAAATCGATCGATTCAAGGCAGCTTACATGGGTATTTAGTACCTGAAGGTACACCAGATGTCGCGACGAGTTCCAAATAGCTATTTTTGTGCACAAGATGGCGCTTATTGCACATTTTTATGGATATTGTTGACTATTCCTTTATTTTGTTTAGGAGTAGAGCTATCTACCCATGTTAGCGAACGTTAATGTGTAAATTAGTTTGTTAAATTGCCATCTATTGATACGCATATTTCTACCCCTCCTACGTAAACTATCGTATGTCGAAATTGCCAACTTTACAAGGGAGCATTTTAAAGTTTTGAATTCTCTGGAAATGAGCAGAACAGGTGACTAGCATTTCTCGGTTTCATTCGGCAAGGCCTACTCACAAAAATCCTAGATATTGGTTAGATGAACAACCATAATTTGGACTCATCCGAAGAACAAAGTCCGATGAGATTATTAGCAAAAAGAGAATAAGTACATCACGAGAACAATTTCTTTATTGAAAGTAAGGCCTATGTACAGGTGTTTTGAGAATTTATATATCTTATTTCGTTTCGGAAATATGAAATCGAACAACGGTCGATCTAACGTCCACAGTGAAGAAGCACGAACAAAATGTACTACGTCCTGAGAACAAGCAGTCTTGCACATAGAACTTTGTTCTATGGATGAGTAGATTTATTTTATAATTTAATCCTAACACAGATGTAGATCAACAAGCGCGTAAACTAAAGTGAGACTGTGCGGGTTGTATGACAGTATAAAATTATAAAATAAATTGTGGTTGTTCATCTAACTGATATCTAGGACTTTATATAACTCTATGTGGGTAAGTATTGTTGAATAAAACTGAGAAACGCTAAAGTCACGTGTTGTGCTCATTAAAGAGAATTCAAAACTTTAAAATGCTTTAAAATACTTTAAATTTTAAAATGAGGGGGTCGATTTATCAAAGTGCAATAATTTTAGTTCATGGCTCAATATTTGAATAATATTACTAGGATAAATAACTGACTACTTATATTTCATATTAAAGAGGAATTAATTTATATCAACGGTTATTTATAATAATATATATTACTTCCAAGCCATCGATCAGCACCATCTAGTTATAAAACGGATTTTTGACCTTTTTCAGAATTACAATCTGTAGTATGGAGATTAACGGTCCTCTTGGGTTATTGGTCCGTGGTTTATAAATAGCTCGTTCATTTCCTGACTAACTACCGTAACTTTACTCTGTAAAGTTTAGCTTCATTAGAATGGCAGGTAGGTAAAGTTAGACCATCGAGTATATAGACGTCAGTAATAAAGACGAAATAAGGGCCATCCATCGCTTGGCAGCTTATCAGGCAAATGGGCCTTATATCTATTTTAAATATCAACTCTCGTTTGTGCTAAAACCACAAATTAGGAAGCTGAAATAGTACAGCGCCAACAACTGCCCTCGTCTCCGTATATTCCAAAAATATTCTGTATTTGTTGTAATAAAAATAATATCTCTAACAATGAGGGCTTTTCCATTCGGTTGTGTCGGTAAAAACAGCAAAACATCTAATTTCGTCGGTAATTAAATATTAATATAGTAAATAAATATAAATTGAAATATTACATTTCAATTTTCGTCCATTATAGCAAGCTCAAGTTCAAGCGCACGCAGTTGTCACCGTAATGATTTGGCAGAATAGTTTTCGTATAAATGAAATGACATTTCGTCTCTATTTCTGGTTATATACTCGATGAGTTAGACCGACGTAAATATGTGGCAATGTCCTACAAATCATATATTTTTAAACACGACAAAATAATAAATATTTTCATCACACTTGCTCGTAAATAGTGTGACTGCATGGTGGCTAACTTGACTAAGCGCCCTAAATAAAGTCCACATGCATTTTTTCTTCCCATTACAGTTTTTAAATGTGTTTTAAATGTTATCTAAACAGGAATTCAATTGCAATTCAGCCACATAGTACTTAAATACTTATTATCAAGAATTTCTTATAATTGATTTTAATTATTTTCGGTATAAAAATTTAGCAATTTTTTTACAAAACATCATTGCTGTATGCATCTTTGCTTTATCAACGTTTTAGTTCGAGTTGTATTACCTATGGAAGAATGAACAGATAGCTAGCTAGCCATCTGTTGATAAAAAAAAGACAAAAATTCGCTATTTGCAAAATCCATAATTGTTGTGTTGTGAACCATATTTATTCATAAACATTGTTATTTATTTCCTCGCAAATGTGGTGAAAAACTGTGTATGTATCACAGACGGTAAAAAAATACAAAACTCGAGGTATTAAATTGTAATAGACACTCGTTAGTAATCTCTTATTTACCCTCTTTAAAACACAATGTACTATTAACATATTTACATTACCACTCATTTACCCATCATGGTCCAGAACGGCGTTTACCGTAAAATTAAATTTCTATGATAGTACGGGGTTTTTCGAATTTAGTTTTTTTTTCTTTATTTTTTTTTCTCTAAATTCAATTTAAAACAAAAATAACAGAAAATAACAAAAAAATACAGTTATGCCAACGTCATTTTTTGGTGTTCATTGGAGGTATCGTATATTACAAATTGACTGATTGGAATGGTGCTTGATAAAAGATCAAAAATTTCCTTCTGTCCAATGCTAAAAAAAAAGGAGTAATATACAGTATCCTCTGGTATCACGTTTTGGATACATTTAACAAAATGTTTTTAATAAAATATAACTGAAACAAAAAGCCCAACCCAAAAAATTTTTTTTTGTGTTTGTAATCTGATGCCAATTAAAAGTTATTATTTGTTTCAGCTTATATATATGGACAATAACCAACGCCAAGCGGTCGCCGACAACGTATATAAGCTTCTAGTATGTAATACATAACTATACCATGTACCCTACACATAACTATGTATCATACATTTGACAACCATGCAGTCAAAAAAAAACAATTTAGTCTATAGTTAAAAAAAAAGAAGTAAAAATGTAACTTAAGTTTTTTCTTAGTTGGCTTTTAGATTTTAAGAAATTAAGTGGCAACACTGTTTTTTTTTTAATTTAAAATGGTGCTGTGCCGTTCTGTTCTATTAATTGTTTCCCGATCTCTCAGTTTAGGTGTGTTTCTCGGATTCGTAAGGAAATGTCTGAAAACGACGATAGCGGCCCAGATTATCACTAGGCACTACAACACTAGTTTCGATTTCGGGATCAACTCTTGAGGTTATTGCTCTGGGACTTATTGTACAGGGTATTCCCTAGTTTGAGACCAGGGTCTCAAATCTGCTAATTTATATAATAATAATAATTCAGTAAAAAGTTAGAGTAGTCGATTCTCAGTAGCTAGCCATCGAGCTACTATTCAACTGACATAGCATTTCTTTGGTATTCTGATCTTCAACGACGAGTCGATAGCGTAAACAAATCATATTGTACAGATAAAAAAAACACTGACCATTTTAAAGGAGCATACTGAATATTGGGAATAAAAAGGTACATGCTCGATTTTTTCAAATACTTAACAAATAAATAAGTTATGACGTTTCAAAGTTTTCCGAAAAATTGTGAACAATATTGACACCCGACGATTAATTGACGTCGTTGCAGAGCAATAAGAACGATGTGGGGCAAGGGGCGGAGCCAGTGCGCGAGTTTATGTATTTGGCAGACAATGAAGTACTAAAGTTGTCTGTCTAGACAACTCGGCGTCGATCGCTCAATTTTAATACTATTTTGAGGTAACCACGCGTTAGAAATTATTGGGAATTATTAACGTCAAAAAATGGGGATTTTTTGTTTTATTTCACTAATGTGTTCTATTACTGAAACTTATGCACAGGAAAAAAATGGATAGTGATTTTTTTATCACCCTGTATATATTTAATTTGAAGACCAAACTACTGATTAAACTAGATGTGTCATTTGATATGCACAGTAATTTCCATGGATGAATGAAAGCCATTTCACCATTCCACTGATACTGCTAAGACTCCACTGCCATTGCTATAAGATTTTAGTAGAATAAAAAATATCATAATTGGACGTAATTAAGCAAAAAGGACCTAATCCACAAAATTATCAAATAATGAGTTATATTACTGTAGCTAGCCTGTAGTAAAGGCTGATCACATGTACCCGGCGCCTCCACCACCACCACTTGTAGTAGCGTAGCCGTGGTTTTAGCGTTGTGAGAGGTACTTTTTAATAAGAAACGAGGAATATATTCAGAAATAAAGATTTACTGCCTGCGTACAACTAGAAAATTCGTCTAGAACTCTCACGATGTTCTTTTTAACACTATCTTCCTTTATTTTATCTAATTCTAAATACGAACCCACATTTATTTAGACAGCTCTAAATACAATCTATGCAGCCTGCTACAGTACCAAACGGTTCCCAAAGTCTTAACTTCTTAGATCAGGAAAAAAATCTAACATATAATATAAATAAGTATGTCTGGAGTTACATGACATTATAAGTTTTGAAAATAAAACAAGAGTGTGAAAGATTTTTAAATTTCAAACTGCCATATCTCGAAAGTGACTTATCCAGTCATTTTCTAGATATGGCATTGGATCCTTTTTAACTGCGTCCAATTGGAGTCTCAATGGAATTAAAATTACCAGTGGTTTCAAAGGAAATTAGTAGATTTAGGACCTAGGAATTGACGCATCCCGCGATCGAACGCTTCATGTGATTAACGTGTTCTTGCCTCAGTGGCCAAATTTAGACATTTCTATTTTTATTCCGAGTATTTATAAATTGTCCAGTACGGTCTACTTGTAGTCCGAATGATATTAGGATCGATATGAAGACTGCATTATGAGGGATATGATTACTACGAGGACGTAATGGAGGTGTTAAGTAGTGTGAACTTTTTTAGATGACAAACTACTACGCGAATTCTGAAAGAAACTAATTAAAATTAACTTTAGATAGTTGTATTTTGGTATCTATTGCTCGTATAATTTAAGGGTGTTATAAAAATAAAATCTGTCTATGTTACTGAACGATATTTCCTAGGAACGTGTACAATATATCATCAGGTTAACCATATGACTGTTAACCAGTTTGTACATGTTAACGAAAACCTCTGTTGGCGGTTAATTGCTAAACAATAAAATAAATAACATGACCAAATATCACACAAAAATAGTCTATTCACTATCGAACTCGGACATTGTGTGATCGAACTCGGACATTGTGTGATCGAACTCGAACATTGTTTAACTGAAAAGTTCGAATCGATTTATTCAATGACAACGTAATTATGCTGGCATTTAAATTACATAAATTGATTGCACTTGTTAAATAATAAACACTGATATTGCGAGTTCTTAGGCTTTCACGATTGTTGCACATCGAAAATAAAACTGTTTTTTCTAATCGAAATCTCGTATATTTAACCATGTCAATCAGTAAACCGTGACATAAAAATCTAAAAATGGTCCGAAATGCTGGTTTGTTTGAAAAAATAAATATACAATTTAGATCCGGAAAAAAAGTTTAATTTCTACTTTGATTCATCGCGAACATTGTGACGAACATTTATGCGATCAATATGAAACTTCACCTATATCATATATAATGAAGTATGTGAACTCATACACAAGCTGATTTGTCAGATGGAAGACCTTGTCATGATTTAAAGAACGCACTATTGCTAAAAACACTAATGTCGATATTAGTCTATTTTTATTTCTTTCGGAATTCGCCTTCAGTACTGCCACATTGTAAAATATATGACACAGTTAAGCACATATTACTTGTAATTGTTTTTATATCACGCGGTCGTAGAGGGGAAATGCCTATTTAAATGTAAAAAGAATGACTTGAAATATTATATATACAAAAAAATACAAAAAAATGACATAATTATTTATTTATTGCATCTAATCTAGGGTCTAATCCGAACTGCCGCGCTTTTCACACGCGTTTTTAAGTTAATAAACTGTCACTTTTGTTATTGCAAATTTAAACTATACGCAACTGACGTATAGCTCGAATTTCAATGGGAAGTTTCGACAGTTTACATACAGCTGACTGGCCATAATATTGCATGGAGCCAATAGATTGTGGTAATGAACATTTTTCCCCCTGCGATCGCTTGCCGAAGTTTAAATTTATGAAATGTAATAAAATACTAACTTGCTCAACTTCGATGCGAGCTCGCAGGAGCTCTGACTATGCGATAAAACTTATCCGAATCAAATAATTTAAAATAATACAAAGCATGAACGAACACGAACATAGATTACGAGTTTGATTAAACACGAACATCGAAATATCGATAGAGAAAAGGCCTGTAAATGATCGAACATAAATGTTAATTAATTTATTGTGTATATGGGTAGGTTACAGTGGCGAAGAATTCATGCTGTGTACTTATTAGTGTTTCAATTAAAAGTAAATCTTCACGGAAGTGCAGATATCTTTGATCTCAACGAAATAGTTTAAAACAGGGCTTCTTTTGATTTCATAATTGCACGTAGCACTACATAAAAGTGCTAAAAAAGCGCTCCCCACCGCCAAGTTATCTGCGTGCGAGCCAGATCCATCGCTTCCGATTTTAGTTCCGTTACAAAAGTTGCGGAAGCAGAAATGGAGGTCTGTTGTATCACTAGTACTTCTCTTCAAACATCTACCCTTCGCAACTACTATATGCTCCCAGGGGCGTCTATACACCACCGTATATACGTTCTTACTCTTTGATCACAAATCACTCACCTTTAAAACGACGCAGTGCCTTCTTCACCGCCTTACCTTCTCCGAATATTATTCGCCACTGTTAGGTAGTGTTCGCCGTTCAAATTTTCGAAAATGCGTTCGAACACGAACATTGATTATGAATATGATGCTATTATTATTTCCTTAATGGCGGCACAAGCCTTGAACCAGTGTTAGTTTTGATATATGTAGTCGGTTAATACTGATTGAGAACGCCAACGATTAGGGCGCGTGTACACGCTAAGAAATTGGACGTGTCAGCAGTACGGTATTTATTTTTGGAAGAACCTTTTCGATGGACTGCCGTTGTGGAGACCGTTTAATTCGTCATATAGTATATTTTGACGTTTTCGCTTTAACACTTGTTAGAATAAAATTTGACAGAACTTTTTCACTCCATTCGCTGGCTGTATCTTACAAAACATTGTTAATAGATTCTGGTGATCATACACATTTGAAAATGAAGTAACAAATTGCTACAACAAAATTAAAATTTTGATTTTTGAATAAAATTTGATTCGGATAATTTGGCAAATCGCAATTATTAAAAAAAAATCTAATTTTTAGTCTGTATCTGTATATTGCACTAAATTAGTGAATTGTTAAGGTGTGATGAGGTCTTTATATTTTCTTAGTTAATAAGAGTGCTTTTTTTTAACTAGTGCCTGTAGGCCGAACTTATTCCCAATAGCGGTGTTGCCAATTTGCCATTTTCTACTAAATTGGTAGTTTTGCAATGTACGTGTCGCGGGATTGTACCGATATCGGTACAATCCCGGCCGTAATGTTGCCACAGTTTTCACTAATAAGTATGATTAGCATGTTTTTCATATAAAGAAATATGTGGTAAAATCATAAAAAAAATTAGATATTCCATAATTTTAGTAATATTCATTTTAACAATATAACAACACAAAGACACCTTTTAGTATAAAATAATTTACTATAACAATGGCAACACTGATATGAGGGTATAGTACGTCTGCAAAGCATTGATATTTGATAAACTATTAGATTAAATTCTTAAGTACGTCGTAGTATACGCTGAGATCGCTTCTATGTTGTAAGTGTCAATTTGCAAGTGTTTATTTGTTTTCAGGTTTTGTAGCAAAGATATTTAGAAGGTATAGTAATTTATATGCATTTTACAATAGCTATAAAAAATAAAAATAATTTGTTTCAGATTACTATGATCCATATTCTTAAATTATAAAATTAGTTAATTACTTTAAAATTACTCACCTTAGGAAATAAAAAAAAAAATTAACATCAAAAAATTTTGGTAAAATCTAAATGAAAATCACAAAACAAAAAGCATAAAATAAAAATAAGATCAAATAATAATAAAATAAAATAAAAATAAGTTACAAATTCATTCTTTTCCTATATGCAGTCGAATCAAATGCCACATTATACAACAGCCAAAATGGTCGTCTATAACGCGTAACGACTCGGCATCGTAGCGGCCTTTGTCCTTATGGCATAAAAGTCATCTGCGTGAGCTTCTGCAAACATACCTGACGCACTGCCGTGTCTCGACAAACCCCACCAACATCCCTCCTCTTATAGGTATACTTATACTTATAGGTATAAGTGTCGACGCACCGATGAAACGTATTTTCGCTCTTACTTCATAGACACAATGCCTTTCTGATCGATTCAATTCCGATAACTGTAGTCTCCCATAATCTGTTAGATCCTACAATGAATTCAATCAGCCACTTAACTCCATAAGCAAGCAGTTTTTCATGTGTAAAAATAGTTTTAGTAGGTATTTGCACACCTATACTTCGTTTCAATCCATTTTAAACAAAAAGTAAACAAACAAGTCACTGACGTTTTGACGTTTAGTGATGGCCAATTGTAGCGCCAACTACAAATCGATTAATTAATTGAATGAATCGATTCGTTTAATTGAGTCATACTAGCGGTTTTCCTTACATAACCTATATAAGCATATTTAAAATTTCTGGAATTTTAATTTCAAATCCTCCTTCAAATCTTTATACTTAGATACTCGTTCGATTGCGATTGAAGTTTTCTTTAACTAATCGATTACAAAAAAATTAATTGAATGAACCAAATTATTTTTTCCCTACAGCGCTATGCAACCAAAGACTATTCATACTTCTATAATTAAAACATAACCTCACTTTTTGACTACCATTTCTTAAATACGATTTTACGATATTATTCAAATGAATATTGTTGGCAAAAGTGGAAAAAATGACGAGATATCAAGTCGAAATCTTCGAAATATACGTGAAAATGTTACTTATTCGACTTATTGAGTGATTGCTTTAGAATTGTAACCAAACAAACAGTTGTTTAATTTTCTTCTAAAATGGATTGGAACATACTACCTATATTTCGATCAAATTGCATAGGCCGTGGCCACGGATTCGGTAATAATAAACTTATTTGTACCAACTTGGATCACTGGTGTTAGTTTAGCTACATACACTATGTTAGTTACATACTAATTAGAATAACATAATTTTAATATATTTATAACATCAACATAAATTAAAATAAATTTCTACTTAATAAGCAAGCAAATTATCAAACAAATTTTATTGTTGTATCCTAATTAGCTCTATAATTAAAACGATTTATTTGAACCCTGTCGCAATGAGCAAGATACGGGTAGACGAGTCTGTTTGCAATCATGTTCAAGATTCTGTTGCTGCTTGCGTCTATTCTATCGTATGGAAACTGTCTACCCGCCGCAGCCACGAGGCAGCCTCAGCAGCACCTTGAACGCGTTGTTGTATTGCATACGTAGAGCGT